AATTAAGGAGACAATAAATTTAATTTCTGAATCACTTGAAAAATATATTTTGAAAATGTTTGTAGAAAGTTTTTAGAGTTAAAAAAATTTAAAACTCTATAAGTTATGGGGTCAGACACAGTTTGGGCAATATTTAAATGGGACTGTTAATATATTTAGAAAGGAGTGCAATGTCTTAAAGGAACTGTTCATGTTGTTCAGTCACTCTCCATTTAAATTGCCCATTGTCAGATTCACACTAATACCCTGAAGACCTTTATCTTGTTGTAGGAGAAGAAGGAGTGTTTCTTTGTTTTATCTTAAAAATTGAAATCGTTGAACAAAAAAGTTCAATTAAATTTTTTTATCGTTAAATTGTCAATTAAAGATAGTGTTTATTCAATTCATGGCTGAAGTAATAAATATGTCTTTCGCATGAATAGTTTGATTTCATTGTTTTTGTAATTAAAAAATAATTAAAATATATAAAAAATAAATGTTTAGAATTATTTCCGTAAATGTTGACATGTCTCTTTAAGGTGGGATTTATCTAAATAGCTGCAGGAAACACTTTCACCCAGACACCCAAAAACAGTATTTAATCTAAAAAAGCTTTTAAAGCATAAATAAATACTTATTAATGTTCAAAAGAATTTGAATATAGATTAAAAACAAAATTTTAATTTTGACACACTAAACATAAAAAATGTTCTTCTTTTTTTTCCTTTCATTTTAAATTTTTGTACAGGACAAGGTCGTACACAAGACGGGATAATGGGGATTGCCCCCCCACGTTGAAAATTTTCGGTTATGATTTAAGTCCCCCCCTCTCCAAAAAACGTTATAAACGTTGACCATTGCAGCCGTGCAGAGATTTGTAAAATAGAAAAATTAGCTTGTACTTTTTCAGAAAAATGTTGTTGATTTTAAAATTCGAAACATGACATTTTTAAAGAAAAATGTAATATTTTATAAACAAGAATAACTTTCTTTTAGTGTTTGTACACTGTAAACTGTACACTGAACCCACTAAATAAGTCCTTGAAAAACCGGTTTCTAATTTTCCCGCATTTTTGATAATGTATACATTGAAATCTGCAAATATGAAAATCGTCTTGCCCAGAGGCGGCTTGTGGGGGGGACGCCCCCCCTGGAAAATTGGGGGGACTTCCCCTCCCTGGAAAAATTAGAATTGCAAGAAGAAAGATCAGGCACCTTCTAGCCCTACAGTTTGGATTTATAAGAACAGATTAAAAAATTTTTGCCTGCGTCACCAATTTTTCACTGAAAATGAATATTATTTATAAAAATCCAAATCTTTTCACTTTCCAACCCCCACACAGTGGGATACTAGGGGAGGGTCAGCCAAAATGAATTTATTCCATAAACCTCTTATTTATGTCAAATAAGGCTTTATTGGTGTAAACTGCCCCAAAATGACATATAGCCCAAATTTTGATTTTGGGGCTATTTACATCTATAGAATAAGGCTTGGCCGCTTAAGATTTTTTTTTAAGGTTTTTGTGTGCTGAGGGCGCCCCTAAATCTTTTGTATATGGCTGTTAGACGAGTTAGAATCTATTCATATATATTTGTGCTTCTGAACTTTTGCTATAAAAGACGACATTTAAATATGTTGCAGGTGTACAGGATCCTTTCAAGGAAAAATATATGAACGGGAAAAGTAATTATTAATTAAAATCATTATAAATCAATGCAAGCTACAATTGAAACAATGTTTATAAATGAAAAAATTATCAAAATATATTTATTTTGTTCATTCTCACTAGTCACCATGAAACACAAGACAAATGCATTTTCAGAGGAGAATTGTGACAAAAATCAGACAGGGGATAAAAAAAATTCGGCATTTGAATTAAAATTTTCAGAAAATTGATTTATTATTTATGGTTTGTTGAATATTAATCAATATTTGCAAAAAGGGAAAAATTATTTTCAACTTTGTACAAACTTTCAACAAATTGAACACGTAATTTTTAGTGACACATTCACAACGGTACCCTAGCTTAACACCTTTATAGGATCAATGATGCGGAAGATAATGTCGTCTTCAAAAGTGGTTCCCTCTGTGAATTCCTTTATTGTTTTCCCGCAGTAAAAATGCGAAAGTCACCACAGTTGAAATCAATCATGTTTTTAAAATTCCCTATTCCGATTTTTCATCAATATTTTACGTTTATCCTACCATAGAAATATTATCGATATGAGTTAAATCAAAATCAAAATTGAAATTAAATTCGGACACTGTTTGCCCATCAAAAATGATGAAGGAATAATGGAGATACTGGAAATATCTACCATCTTATAAAACATTGCATTGGCGTAAAAACAAATAACATTAGTACAGATATTACAATATATTACAATTAAACTCAAATTTTTTTAATCATTGCAGATAACTATCCGCCTGAACCTATTTTTAAAAATTTGATTTTTATAATTTACATTGTATTTATAAAAGATATAAATCTAATTGTTTCATATGACACCTTGCGGTAAAAAAGTTAACTTTAGAATTCCGCTAAAACAGCATTATCTTTCGGTCAGGCGGAATAGGTGGGATGAAATCCTGCCATTACTAGTATAAAGGCATTTTCCGTTAGCTTGGCCTAGCGAACATCTAGAAAAATTGCGTAGCATTAAAGGGACTGTAGCATTAAAGGGACTGTAGCATTAAAGGGACAGTAGCATTAAAGGGACTGTAGCATTAAAGGGACTGTAGCATTAAAGGGACTGTAGCATTTAAGGGACTGTAGCATTAAAGGAACTGTAGCATTAAAGGAACTGTAGCATTAAAGAACAGTAGTATTAAAGGGACTGTAGCATTAAGGGGACTGTAGCATTAAAGGGACAGTAGCATTAAAGGGACTAAAGTCTAAATTGTGGATAATCTTCAATTTAAAGAATGCCATATCCAAATCACAACGGTACCCTATTAACCATAATAATCTAGCTGAGTGTAACAATGATGACAAGTCTTAAATTCTCACAATTTTGATTTCAACCTGTGCAACAGAAATCCACAGTTCACTCTTGAAAATAATAAATTTTCAAATAAGAAAATGAGGATATACAGGGTATCCCAATTACATGGGAATTGAGAGACTTGAATGTCGTCTTTAATTTTCGAATGTTAATAAATGACATAAAGTGCAGCAAAAAAAAAAAAGACTGAACGTTTATTGAGCTTTCCAAAATGAGGTCTACCAGCTTTGCATCTTTAAAGGGAGTGTTCGCGAAAAATGAAAGGGGGTATAGGCTTAATGCGATAAAAAAGCGCTTTTGACCGCTACTAATCTTACTTTTATCTGTTGCGTCTATAAGGAGAAAATTGTTAAAGACGTCTCGTACCGAATAACTTAGCGCCCATACAAATTCAGAAAATTGCAACATACGACTTAGACCGTAAAAAATATCACCCTACAGGCNGGAACAAAGACGATATAGAAGTCGTCATTTAATTCCCATGTTTATTGGGACACCCTGTAGATAGGGAAGTCTCAAACCGATAGCTTTTTAAGTTATGTCTAATCATTATAGGGGAGAAGGGACCCCCCCCCCCTCTTCAGTGGGAAAAGGATTAACAGCAAAGATGAAAAGATATTTCCTAAAACTCACTCGATACCAATCTTTTTCTTAATTATACATTAGTTGCACTTTCTTTGCAATTACCTGACAAAAAAAAGAAAAACAGAATATCTTTTATCGGAAGATCTTAACCACAAGAACTTAATTTCCTTTATTTTCTTACTGTGATCTAATCTATAAACATTAGATACACTTTTAGTAGTTATCTGCAATGATTAAAAACAAATGAGTTTAATTGTAATATCTGTACTAATGTCAATTGTTTTTAGGCCCTGCATGCAATTTTATATACTGTAGAGCGCATACAGTTAAATATTGTGTTCTCTATATATACATTCTTCCTTTTCGTGATAGTTTTTGAAGGGCATTTAGCCTCATATTTATCGTTATATATCCTTCATGATGATTTCTGACAGGCAAATTAATGAATGTTTACTAAAGTTAAATCAATCACCTCTAGGTGCTAGATCTGCTAATCTTACTACGAACTTCCGTGACTCTGTTTACATATGGTATAAATATGACACTTTAAGTATAGTAAATTCTATATTCATTTTATTTCTTTATTGCCCTTCTCCCATCTTGTCACCCAGTACATAATATAACATATTTTGTCAATACTAGAGGTCTCTGTCTAATTTTTTTAATCTTAAAATAAATCAATAGGATAAATGTTTTATATCTATAATAGTAAAACGTGTTTATACACACTTTTTNCTTTTAGAACTTTCTTGTAGAATAATAAAATTTGACGAATTTAAAAAATCTCTAGATGGAATTTCGTGATTTTTTGCCAATAATAATCACTTTTCATCCAAAAAGTTTATTTTTATTTTTCTACGTTGCAACACATTAAACAATGGCGTAGAAAGACGACTGTGTGACTAACTCGAGATTTTGAATAGTAAAATGGACACACAGCAACTGAGCAGTGTACACAGACCAATTTTACTCAATGAGTTAACTTTCTAGTTACTACAGTTAAACCCTAAATATTAAATACATCGAAATAACTTATAAAATGTCGTATTCTTCACTTTCTGATAATGGAATGTTGCAGATATTTAGTTTTTTAATTAAATGATTATATGCAGCTCTTGAAAACTGTTCCCACATATTCATGGCTGTTTATTTATTTTCGCAAATACTGAGATTTACGTAAAATAGTATAAAACCATTTGAAAAATTGCCAAGACGACATTTGATAAATTCTTTCGATGTATGGCTCATTTAGGGTTTAACTGTAATAAAACGTTCTGCTTTTTATCAACACAAAATACACATAAAATTGCTGAAATGCCGTCTTCCTAGTCCACAGTTTTATGAGTACCACTGCATTTGATGTAGAAGGTTGCAATTAGATAAATTTGTGAACATCATTTAATAAATGCAATAGGAAGCGTGTTTTTTTCTTAGTTAGACGAAATTCTTTCCCTGTCTCTGAAAACTCTGTCTTCTGAAAAAAAAAATATTTTTTAAAAGGAAAAATTATTTTCCTTGTTATCATGTCTCAATTTGAATGCCTTCACTGTAGAGAAATATTTAATGGTCTATAATTTTCAATAAAAAAAAGGCAGACAGAATTAAAAAAAAAAAAAAAATTTAGTTTTTCGGACATGCGTAGTGATATGATAATGATTATTTGGACACCTTTTGCATAATAATCAAATAGAATTTTACCTGATCAAAATCTTCTGTATGAGTTGAATTATGATTAACGTCGTCATTTGAAATCAGCATTTTCGTGGATTTTTCCGATTCATAATCTGGATTTTCCTGGAACTTTAAAATGTCGTCTTCCGTAATATTTCTGATCGAAACAAGAACAGAACTGAGAACTGCGTAAGGGATCTAAAAAAGCACAAAATATACATTTATTTAATGAATTAAATAAAATTTACTTTATTTACAGGGTTACCTACAAAGCATAAAGACGACCTAATAATCCGAAAATATGACGATACTGTCTTGAATATAGTCTTTTACTGGCTTTTAAACAAATAGGTAACGAAAGAAACAAGATTGCAGTTGCATTGAATATCAATATTAGAAAACAGACAGATAAAATTCCGTACAGTCGTCTCTGAAGTCTTATCCTGTATATAATGTTTCCCCAGCAAACCAATAGACTAACTGCACATGTATACTAGGCTTTTATTGTGACAATACATAAACCTAGGGCCACGTGAGGTCCCACAAAAAATTTGGGCCCGATCGGTTCAGTCGTTTTAACGTTTATTGGATACGTACAAATAGACAAACAAACAAACAGACACCCAGACAAGCTAAATTTTTATATAGACTAGGCTTTTAGAACGCTTCGCGCCCATCTTAATTATTATTAAAAATAAAAAATTCTGTTTGGTTTCTATAAACAACTCCCCCCTGTATACCCCAGTAAAGGTATGTTAGGTTAACGGACTGTAGAGGCGCAACTGAAAAAAACACTCATAACACATGCGTAAAAAGAGCGCAATTTTTACGCAATTTTAATGCTAACAAAGACCATTTAAATTCTTTTAAAAAGTTTATTTTTTCAATTTTTTTTTTGGAAAATGCAATATATGCCGTATCGGAAATTTTTAATTTTTACAAAAAAAATATATATTTCCTGAGTAAAAGATTAACAATTTATTCATGAAGAAAATATAAAAATAAGAGATCTGAATAGTATATAGTTTGTCAAATTGTTTGATTAAAAAACAACTGTAATAGGGTAATAATATTTGTAAAACATTTTCTTATTTTTTTATTGTCAAATTTTTAAAAATGTTTATACTTAAAATATTTTCGGGATTTTTCATAATAACAGGTACACAAATTATAAAAAGTATTGGCATTTCAAATCCAAAAAACCAAAAAAACAAAGAACTTCTATTATGTATATGTTAAGGAAGCTTTTAGAACTTTCTTGTAGAATAATAAAATTTGGCGAATTTAAAAAAATCTCTAGATGGAATTTCTTGATTTTTTGCCAATAATAATCACTTTTCATCCAAAAAGTTTATTTTTATTTTTCTACGTTGCAACACATTAAACAATGGCATAGAAAGACGACTGTGTGACTAACTCGATAATGGAATGGAATGTTGCAGATATTTAGTTTTTTAATTAAATGATTATATATGCAGCTCTTGAAAACTGTTCCCGCATATTCATGGCTGTTTATTTATTTTCGCAAATACTGAGATTTACGTAAAATAGTATAAAACCATTTGAAAAATTGTCAAGACGACATTTGATAAATTCTTTCGATGTATGGCTCATTTAGGGTTTAACTGTAATAAAACGTTCTGCTTTTTATCAACACAAAATACACATAAAATTGCTGAAATGCCGTCTTCCTAGTCCACAGTTTTATGAGTACCACTGCATTTGATGTAGAAGGTTGCAATTAGATAAATTTGTGTACATCATTTAATAAATGCAATAGGAAGCGTGTTTTTTTCTTAGTTAGACGAAATTCTTTCCCTGTCTCTGAAAACTCTGTCTTCTGAAAAAAAAAATATTTTTTAAAAGGAAAAATTATTTTCCTTGTTATCATGTCTCAATTTGAATGCCTTCACTGTAGAGAAATATTTAATGGTCTATAATTTTCAATAAAAAAAAGGCAGACAGAATTAAAAAAAAAAAAAAAATTTAGTTTTTCGGACATGCGTAGTGATATGATAATGATTATTTGGACACCTTTTGCATAATAATCAAATAGAATTTTACCTGATCAAAATCTTCTGTATGAGTTGAATTATGATTAACGTCGTCATTTGAAATCAGCATTTTCGTGGATTTTTCCGATTCATAATCTGGATTTTCCTGGAACTTTAAAATGTCGTCTTCCGTAATATTTCTGATCGAAACAAGAACAGAACTGAGAACTGCGTAAGGGATCTAAAAAAGCACAAAATATACATTTATTTAATGAATTAAATAAAATTTACTTTATTTACAGGGTTACCCACAAAGTATGAGACTCTAAAGACGACCTAATGATCCTAAAATATGACCATACTAATGACAAATCAAGTTGTTGTATATAGTCTTTTACTGGCTTTAAAAAAAAAGAAACAAGATTGCAGTTGCGTTGAATAAATATTAGAAAACAGACAGATTAAATGTCGCACAGTCTTATCCTGTATATAATGCTTCCCCAGCAAACCAATAGACTAACTGCACATGTATACTAGGCTTTTATTGTGACAATACATAAACCTAAGGCCACGTGAGGTCCCACAAAAAATTTGGGCCCGATCGGTTCAGCCGTTTTAACGTTTATTGGATACGTACAAATAGACAAACAAACAAACAGACACCCAGACAAGCTAAATTTTTATATAGACTAGGCTTTTAGAACGCTTCGCGCCCATCTTTTATTTTAACTTTAAATCGTGGCCATATCTGTGAGCATCTTCTCTTTGTACAGTATAAAACAAAAACAAAAGAAGTTTGCAGATTTCATAATATTTTTTCGCGCATTTTCAAAATTTTACAAAAATAAAAAACTTTAAAACACAAATTTTTAAAATTTTGATCATTCATAAATTCCTTCCCTGGGCCTGGAATGACGTGAGGTCCTACACAAAATTTGGGCCCGATCATTTCAGCCGTTTTGACGTTTATTGCATACAAACAAAGAAGAAGAAAAATAATTTTAGTTATTCCAGTTCACCATATTTCAGATACTTCTGAAAATTTAGACCTTGTAAAAAGTCACTCACATTTTTAAATATATACATATTAAAGTATAAAAAAGGTTTACCTGTTCGAAAAATCTGGCCGCTAAATCATTAAAAGTTATTCCTGAAAAAAAAACTGTATCAGACATAATGATTGGCGATTATTAAATGAATAAAAAAACAAGTAAAGAAAGTTCATAAATTGGGAAAAAGATAAATCATTAACAGAATTTTTATTTCAATGTCAATGTTTATATCTTCGCTATCTTTTAATTGTAATGATTCTAGAGAGACATGTCCGATTTATATCGGTAACCTTTAAACCTTAAATTGTGGATTAATTGAAATCACTTCTGTAATCTCATTAAGTACCTAGTCTCTGCCACTTGACCCCCAGGGCTTCCAGCGTGCTGGTCAACACAAAACTATAACTCTGCAAGAGGGTCAGAAGGTAGTGTTCCCTGAACAGTTTCATAATTCAATTCAATCTTTTAAAATTAAATTTAGTTTTTTTTTGCTGTATTTTATTTACAAGGCTGCTCATTAAGAATAGATAGATATATATTTCGGCTCATTTAATTTTTTGAAATTAACAAATAACTAATAAAACAAATCTTCGGGATGAACCAATCCTGAAAAATGGAAAAAATAAAAAAAAATTTTATTTCAAACAACGTTTTTACCTAGACCAACTGTTCCTGTGGGGTTTGAGAAATCAGCCACGATTTGTGTTTCATCATCGACTCTAAAAGTTAAATTCAAAATCAAAATTGAAATCAAAAGTCGTCTTCATTGTATTGATATTGCCTCCAACAAAATTTGATTGTCATTAAATTTTGAATATCCACGATTTTTTATTATACTGTTGACAAAGAGAGCATCTTTAAAATTGAAACAAAAGATGGGCGCGAAGCGCTCTTTAATCCTAGTCTTTATATAAGGTTAGCATCTTTGCATACAACGATGACTCTTTCTAAAGAAGCTGACCTTTGTGAATATGTTTTCAGTAAATTCAGTTTCTTCTCAAGTTTTGGATCCAAGCGTGCAGACGACCATGATCTACATAGCAAAGCATACCTGAAAAAAAACAATACAAATTCATTTTTACAAAAAAAGAATAATGGAATGAAAGAGGTTCCAGCCACATTATTTCTAAATACGAGCCGTAATCTTCTCATCCGAGCCACATAATGCTTTTAATTTAAATATAATACATCAATACATGATCTCCTCATTTAATTGATCTTAAGATTAATTTGAACTTGAAGATCTCCGCCGAAACCTAGATTTAGACGTACATGAGTTTGTATACAAAATATGAATATAAACCTGTTAATTAAAAGTATTCGTTCTTCGGTAGGAATAGGATAGGGTCGAGCTAAGTACGGATGAACATCCAAAATAGAATCATCCTATAAAATAATTTATTTAAATAAAAATAACACTCAGAATTTATAATACGGTGGTACCCAATTATATCAATACAATAAAGACGACTTTCAAGAAGATGTCAATTAGAAAAGCTTCTCTTTGATTACTTGGAAACTTTATTCCAAAAAGCTTGTTAACAAACAAAAAAGTCGTTTTAAATGTATCAAGAAGATATTTTAGACAAACTTTAAGTTTTAATTTTTTACTTTTTACGATCACGCACAGTTTTTATAATTTCGGGGCCTTTGATCATTCTTGAATCTTGAGTGATAAAAAGTTAGCTTCGACATTCCAGAAAGGGATGAACATTAAAAATTAAATCATTCAAAAAGAAAAATTCCAAGAAAATAAAATTAAAATTAAAATTAAACTTTTTAAATATTTTATCTAAAACCTATATCTCTTTCACACTCCATAAAGTTTTTTTACTTTTTCTTTGAACATTACAAATAAATCTATAATTTTTATTTCTAAAAGTTGTTAGTTCATCTTTAAAAAAAATACTAACAATCCACCACCAATTTAAATTAAATATAGTGTAAACATAAATATGTAATTTTCCTTATCCTTTCCTTTCCTTTTCCTATTATTTATATTTTTATATTTTTTAGAATTGGGGGGAAATATTCCCACAACCTCTACTTTTAGAGGTTTTTAAATATTTTCTCCTGAAACACATTTTTTTGTATGTNGGATGAGTTTATCCCTGAGATTAGGAGGTCTCCTATAGGTAACCATAGGTGGATTTTGAAAAACCTCCTTCATCCAAGGATCCTGGACCATGGTTCTCCAATGTTTCTGTATGATGGAGGAGATACAAGGCAGCTGGGGATTTAATGAGATAGAGAATATAACTCGATCTGGTTTCTCCATTTTCTCCACTTTCTTTAAAGCAACTTCTCTAGGTATAGCTAAATTTTGTATGTTTTTGTTATATTTCATAAATAAATAATTTTTTACTTTACTTTTACTAGAGGATGATTTTCATGAGTTCTACGCTATTTTAGACAGATATAAATTATTCATTCTTGTACTTTAGTACGCTATAGAGACATTTTTCAGTGGTAACATTGGTTTACCCATGTATTCCATAAATGTCAATTTTCAAATTCATGAACCATCCCTTTAGATTTTACCTCAATAGATTGCTTCCAGGCAATGGTAACTGCATGGAACTGTGCCAGGGTAGCAACAACAACCTTGATAATACAGGTAAAGGAACTGTGCCAGGGTAGCAACAACAACCTTGTATAACACAGGTAAAGGAACTGTACCAGGGTAGCAACAACAACCTTGGTTAATACAGGTAAAGGACCTGTGCCAGGGTAGCAACAACAACCTTGTATAATACAGGTAAAGGAACTGTACCAGGGTAGCAACAACAACCTTGATAATACAGGTAAAGGAACTGTGCCAGGGTAGCAAAAACAACCTTGATAATACAGGTAAAGGAACTGTGCCAGGGTAGCAACAACAACCTTGTATAACACAGGTAAAGGAACTGTACCAGGGTAGCAACAACAACCTTGTATAACACAGGTAAAGGAACTGTACCAAGGAAGCAACAACAACCTTGTATACTACAGGTAATGGAACTGTACCAGAGTAGCAACAACAACCTTGATAATACAGGTAAAGGAACTGTACCAGGTAGCAACAACAACCTTGTATAATACAGGTAAGGGGACTGTACCAGGGTAGCAACAACAACCTTGATAATACAGGTAAAGGACTTGTACCAGGTAGCAACAACAACCTTGTATAATACAGGTAAGGGGACTGTACCAGTGTAGAAACAACAACCTTGATACAGGTAAAGGAATTGTGCAAGGGTAGCAACAACAACCTTGATAATACAGGTAAAGAAACTGTACCAGGGTAGCAACAACAACCTTGATAATACAGGTAAGAGGACTGTGCCAGGGTAGCAACAACAACCTTGATAATACAGGTAAAGGAACTGTGCCAGGGTAGCAATAACAACCTTGATAATACAGATAAAGGAACTGTGCCAGGGTAGCAACAATAACCTTAATAATACAGGTAAAGGAACTGTGCCAGGGTAGCAACAACAACCTTGATAATACAGGTAAAGGAATTGTGCCAGGGTAGCAACAACAACCTTGATAATACAGGTAAAGGAACTGTGCCAGGGTAGCAACAACAACCTTGATAATACAGGTAAAGGAACTGTACCAGACTGAAATCAAAAGAAAATGAGAGAAAAATATTAAAAGAATAAAATTCTAAATGTTAAAATGTTTCTTGGGTAACTTAGCAATGGTTACATATAGACCTATTTCACTCGTTAACTTGATTTATAAAGTTCGTGAAAAAATCATTCTCTTCATGGCTACATCAAATACATAAATTATATTATAAAAGTCGTCTTTCTAATTCACAGTTTGGTGGGTCTTACAGTAATACAGTGATAAACCTATATCTGTAGTATAGGAAGACGACATTATAGAAATCCTTATTTATATTTAATGTTATCACAAAGCAAATAGTTTGACTATACATTTATTCAATCAAATGGGTCTGTTTTACATTAAAAAATGTACTGTGGACTATTTTAAGGAAAACAAAAGTCGTCTTCCTATTTCAAAGTTTTTTTCACTGTAATATGATATTATTTGAATCTGTTTTCTAACCTCTAAAATCTGTTTTCTATCCTCTAACATCTGTTTTCTAACCCCTAAAATCTGTTTCTAACCTCTAAAATCTGTTTCTAACCTCTAAAATCTGTTTTCAAACCTTTAAAATCTGTTTCTAACCTCTAAAATCATTCTAACCTCTAAAATCATTCTAACCTCTAAAATCTGTTTTTTCTAACCTCTAAAATCTGTTTTCTAACCTCTATAATCTGTCTCTAACCTCTAAAATCTGTTTTCTAACCTCTAAAATCTGCCTCTAACCTCTAAAATCTGTTTTCTAACCTCTAAAATCTGTTTCTAACCTCTAAAATCTGTTTCTAACCTCAAAAATCTGTTTTCTAACCTCTAAAATATGTTTTGGTGGAGGTTTACATCCTTTAGTTAGACTCACATCTTCAAGGACCAGATGGTAATAAACAGATTTACCAAACTCCTGAAAATACATTTTTAGATATTTGTTATTTTTAGATATTTGTTAGTTTTAGATATTTGTTGTATCTAATGTGATACATTTCACATTTTTAGATATTTGTTGTATCTAATGTAATACACTTCACATTTTTAGATATTTGTTGTATCTAATGTAATACACTGTGGAAGACGAGACCCAGCGGCCTCCTTACAGCAAAGCCAGGAACAAAGAAGAGAGCTGAAGAATTCTACGCTGCTTTCTCTCAAGTTCTACTCATGTGATTCCGACCGATATCTATAGACTTATTTTGTTATCTTAGAATCAAATATATACTGAAGAAAGACTCCTTGCGTTATTTGGAGACCGACGCTACGTCCTCCATATTGGTGACCCCGACGATAAATTCTATTGGTTTTAAGTTTAATTTCCTTATTATTCTCAGTTTTGCCTGTAATTGCAATCACTGAATAAAAGGAATATCGTGAACACGAAGGAGAACGAGTGTACTTTAGACATTTATACGTGATCAAGTAACATGAGTGAGAATGACGGAAACCTTCCAGCTCCCGCTGCCCACTACGTCACGAAGGTGGCCGTCAAGCTTCCGGATTTCTGGTCTGACAATCCTGACCTCTGGTTTATCCATGCTGAATCTGTGTTCCGTAACGCTCAAGTGACTCAATCAAGAACGAAGTTCGACCATGTAGTGCAGAAACTTCCGCAGAATATCATGGTTTCAGTACGTGGCCTAATACTCAGTTCCTCTGCTTCTTCCTCTACACCCTACGAAGATTTGAAGGCCAAGCTGGTGTCCTCTTACACCTTATCTCGCTGGCAGAGGGTTTCTAAGGTCATTCATCATCCTGCTTTGGGTGACCGCCGCCCCACAGCCCTGATGGACGCCATGCTGGCATTACTCCCTGAAGATGAAGTTCCTGGAAGCCTGTTCCTAGGCTTGTTCCTCGAGAGGTTACCTGTGGAGATGAGAGACCACCTGGTGGCCAAGGATTTCAAGAACCCCAGTGAGATGGAAACAAACTGACAGGTTACCTTGGTAACTGCTGAACAAACTGGCAGGTTACCTTAGTAACTACTGAACAAACTGACAGGTTACCTAAGTAACTACTTAACAAACTGGCAGGTTACCTTGGTAACTACTGAACAACATGGGAGGTTACCTTCGTAACTACTGAACAAACTGGCAGGTTACCTTGGTAACTACTGAACAAACTGGCAGGTTACCTTAGTAACTACTTAAAAAACTGGCAGGTTACCTTAGTAACTACTGAACAAAATGGCAGGTTACCTTGGTAACTGCTGAACAAACTGGCAGGTTACCTCGGTAACTACTTAAAAAACTGGCAGGTTACCTTAGTAACTACTTAACAAACTGGCAGGTTACCTTGGTAACTACTGAACAACATGGGAGGTTACCTTTGTAACTACTGAACAAACTGGCAGGTTACCTTAGTAACTACTTAACAAACTGGCAGGTTACCTTAGTAACTACTAAACAAACTGACAGGTTACCATGATAACTGCTGAACAAACTGGCAGGTTACCTTAGTAACTACTTAAAAAACTGGCAGGTTACCTTGGTAATTGCTGAACTGCTTAACAAACTGGCAGGTTACCTTGGTAACTGCTGAACAAACTGGCAAACTGGCAAAAGTGAATTCTCCGAGTTGTCTACAACTTTGCCTAAAATTAATGGTTTTAAAACTAATTTAACTTTGTAAATAATTAAAAGAATGAGATATCTAAAAATCCTCGGACAAAAAATCGAAAATTATTTTCTTTTTATATCAACAATGTACAATAAAAATTATCCGAAAATGGAATTTTGAATAAAGATTCATAATGAGCACAATTGATTTTGATCAATTTTAGCGTAAAAAATTTCAAATATTTTTACTTACGTTGAATTGTGTACTTGGAAGCTCATTGGAATTGAGGTGTACTGAAAAATACATTCATTAAAATATTGCTGAAAATTACAGAGGATAAAAGTGCCGATCCATATTCATGGGCCATTTGAGTCAAAAATGTGAATCCGTTAAAAAAATGCAAAAATTTTATTTTTTTAAACTTGAATCCAATGATAAAAAAGCAGTTAAAAAAGATGATTTCTTTATATGGCTAAAACTGACAGTAATTTTCTAGGGATTTGCCATTCTCTGTTGTGCGCAAATGCCCCGCAAAANTCAAGTTTTGGATCCAAGCGTGCAGACGACCATGATCTACATAGCAAAGCATACCTGAAAAAAAACAATACAAATTCATTTTTACAAAAAAAGAATAATGGAATGAAAGAGGTTCCAGCCACATTATTTCTAAATACGAGCCGTAATCTTCTCATCCGAGCCACATAATGCTTTTAATTTAAATATAATACATCAATACATGATCTCCTCATTTAATTGATCTTAAGATTAATTTGAACTTGAAGATCTCCGCCGAAACCTAGATTTAGACGTACATGAGTTTGTATACAAAATATGAATATAAACCTGTTAATTAAAAGTATTCGTTCTTCGGTAGGAATAGGATAGGGTCGAGCTAAGTACGGATGAACATCCAAAATAGAATCATCCTATAAAATAATTTATTTAAATAAAAATAACACTCAGAATTTATAATACGGTGGTACCCAATTATATCAATACAATAAAGACGACTTTCAAGAAGATGTCAATTAGAAAAGCTTCTCTTTGATTACTTGGAAACTTTATTCCAAAAAGCTTGTTAACAAACAAAAAAGTCGTTTTAAATGTATCAAGAAGATATTTTAGACAAACTTTAAGTTTTAATTTTTTACTTTTTACGATCACGCACAGTTTTTATAATTTCGGGGCCTTTGATCATTCTTGAATCTTGAGTGATAAAAAGTTAGCTTCGACATTCCAGAAAGGGATGAACATTAAAAATTAAATCATTCAAAAAGAAAAATTCCAAGAAAATAAAATTAAAATTAAAATTAAACTTTTTAAATATTTTATCTAAAACCTATATCTCTTTCACACTCCATAAAGTTTTTTTACTTTTTCTTTGAACATTACAAATAAATCTATAATTTTTATTTCTAAAAGTTGTTAGTTCATCTTTAAAAAAAATACTAACAATCCACCACCAATTTAAATTAAATATAGTGTAAACATAAATATGTAATTTTCCTTATCCTTTCCTTTCCTTTTCCTTTCATTTCTATTTTTATATTTTTTTAGAATGGGGGGGAAATATTCCCAAAACCTCTACTTTTAGAGGCTTTTAAATATTTTCTCCTGTAACACTTAATTTTAAAATTCAGTGATGGTGATGGACCAAACCTCTGTAGAGTAAAAAAGTAGATGTTAGTTCCACATTTATTGAAAATATATTTCGGTCTAATCCATACCCTTCCCCCTGGGGCTATATTGGTTGCCACAACAATTTTTGGCCTGAAACAAAACGATCGTTTTACATCAATTGCCACTTGTAAAACTCAAAAATTTGAATAGTTTTTGAAAAATGAATATTTTTGTGGAAGCTAATGAAAAATTAACATGTCTTTTTTTCAAAATAAAATTACTCACCCGACAGTCGATGAAAACTGTTTCTGGGATATTTAAAAGAAACTTCGCTCGCCTAAAATAAATTTAAAGCATTATTATTATTATTTTTTGTAATATGAAAGTGACTTTAAAAGATAGTTTAATGATTCTAGAAAATTTGTTTAAAGATCAATGTTGTTTTAATCGCTCTAAATGTATACGTTTTTTTTCTTTTCTGGGCATTGAAAATTATTAGAAGCCATCAAAGCATCAATATATAAAATACTGCAGTTATTGAAAGCCAATTAAAAAGTTATTCTTATAGTTAGTTTGCTGGTTAATGTTTAGACACAAAACATATTTTGTTTTATTCTAAGTATTCTTCATGTGTGCTTTTATACAGTAAACTAGAAATTCAAGGCGCTTCGCGCCCATCTTCTATTTAAATTGTGAACATGTTCTTTTTGTTTACATTTAAAAACAAAGAAGCAAATTTTTTTGCGGATTTAAAAAAAAAAATTCGCGGATTTTCTAGAATTTTTTTTTTTAAATTAAAAACCTTTACAACATATTTTTTATTTTTATCATTCATAAACCTTCCCTGTGATCACGTGATGTCCCACAACAAATTTGGGCCCGATCGGATCGGTTCAGCCGTTTTGACGTTTATTGGATACAAACAAACAAACAGATAAACAAACAGACAGACAAGCCAAATTTATTTATAGATTAAGAACAAATCAAAGCTTTAAGGTTTTTATACAGATAGAACCAGAAAACGGTGGAATATAAAGACGACATTAAAGCAATAATGAAACGTATTTAATGTTGATACAAAGCAAATCGTTTTTTTACTTTTAAAATCGCTTTAAAATCGCTTATTAAATCTGTTTAGTGTTTACACTTTACTATTGCCGTGCCTGACGTTAAGCTGAGTCTAAAAGTCGTCTTCCTTTCCCACAATTTTAATGTTCTCAACTTCTCACTGATGCAAGTCTTCTTAAAACTAGGACTAGAGCCGTTATTTCAACAGTAGTCGGATTCACAATGGCACCCTTTTAACCTTTTCACGCCCACAGTGAACAATCGAGTTTCCCGTAACTCAATTTTTAGCAACTAAAATAAGGATTTTTCCGTCATCAATTATCAGACAACGATTTAAAGGGAACCGTTGCGGATTGGACATTCAATTTTAGAAATGGAGGGTCAATTAAATTTACGTTACGGTCCCTTTACCAATGTACTTACTTATAAGCTCTGTTCGCCAGTAGTGCATTTAATGCTGGTAACATCTTCTGTCGGATTTCAATCTCTCTGAAGCGAAACCATTTTGGATTTTTAACTTTTGCAAGAGGTTGCTCAAGAGTTTCGACATGGGTTATGGACGCCAAATCCAAAATTTTTCTTTTATAAACTATATCTGTTAATAAAGTTTGTTATATAAGCTTTTTAATCCCCTATATCTTCGCAACCCAATGCCTGAGACATTTGACATCTCAAGCTGAATTCATACAAGATCAAATAGTTTGAAAAATTAAAGGCCTTTACAGATTGCAAAGATAAAGGGACCAGAAAATTTAAACTAAGTTCCGTTAAGTTTTCTCATTTTCATTTTTGTGGTAGACGATTATATAAAATATCAATCATGATTTATATCAAGCTATTAAACAGCATGGATACACATAAACATATCAAGTGAAGCTGTCAATTATTAAAGATTCTCTTTGATTATTTGTAAACTTGTAATTCGTAAAAAGCTTGTTTACAATCAAAACTTATAATACGAAAGTTGTCTTCATTGTATTAATATAATCGCTTATTAATTTGACCCCCCTGTAGTTTTTTTTATTCACATAACTCAAAAGTATTGGTCTGGGGCTGTTGAAATTTTTTGACTTTTCCTAAATACTCATAGATCTCTTTTTAGGCTTAAACTAGGCTTTTATACTAACTGCCTGAGTCCTCAGGCACACTGCCTAAATGACTACTTTTTGTTGTAACAAACTAAATTTTTGTTTTGACCTACTTTTAGTTGTCAGATTTTGATAATTTTGAGCTTATTGGACATGATAAAGAAAACGAATTGCACAGGTTATGCAAAGAAATTGTATGCAAATTCTTTGCATACACCTCGTCAAATGAAATTTACACATTTTTAGTTTTTTGGGCTTTTCAAAAATGTATATTTTATCATTTTTTGGGCCTTTGCTTTTGAAACATTTTTACTATATATATATAACTGGATTTTGCCCCCAAAAAAGTTTTTTTTTTAACAGATTTGCAATTTTTTTGCAGATTCTTAAATTGGAGCATATTTGGACATCATAACATGGGATTTAGAGGGGGTGAGGTGGGGTTTATCCTGGTTTTCAAGTACCCCAGCAGGACTAGGGTTTAACGTTTAATTATATTTTATCCAATATCTATATTGAATGATTGTTAAGAATTCAAAATATGATAATCCAAACATTCCTCTTCAGTCCGACCTGAAAATAGAATAAAATGTTTAATTTCTATTGATTTACTGAGTTTATATTATTTCAATTGATATTACTTATTATTTCTGATGAAGAAATAATTGTTTTGATAGAAACCAATTGATCTATTATTGAATTATTTTGTTATAAATTGATATTGAAAATATTCCATGGAAAATGTTCCTTATTAAAAAGGCATATTTTCTTTTTTAGTATAAGATTTTTCTAATTATCACATAAAGAATTTGCGTTGCCCTAGATTTATGTCCGATTAACATTGGTACCCTATGAAAACTTTGTTTTAGCAAAAATGACGGAGTTACAATGGTTATTCTAGTAAAAAATAGTTATTTTCAATCATGCATTTCTCTCTGCAAGTAAATTGTGGATTAAAATCTTTTTAAAAGAGAAAAACGATGATATCCTGCCCCTCAATAAATGCAGAGTCAGTTGCAATTAAGTCTACAGTCTCTTAATTTTACAATTAAGTCCCTTTAAGTAAAAAATATGATTACATGATTGCTGGAGATTCTGACCAACCAGTGAACCATTTCTTCTTCATCCTTCCCGTTCAGGTATTCTACAATTCAGTCGTCGTTGTTAATATATCAATTTAAGGAAGACGATTTTTGATTTCAATTTTGATTTATATCAAGATGTTTAGAAGTCAAGAGAAGCTCTCAAATAAGAAAGGTTAACAATCTGCAAAACTAACATTAAAAATTTGTCTTCATTGTATTTATATAATCGCCTACCACTATAGTATTATATAACAATAGTATAATAGTAGTACAATAGTAGTACAATAGTACAATAGTACATTAGTACAATAGTACAATAGTACAATAGTACAATAGTACAATAGTACAATAGTACAATAGTACAATAGTACAATAGTACAAAGTAATTCAACTATTTACGATCTGAGTGGAATAACGCAATTCTGTGAACTGTATGGATCCACTACACTCCTTTCATTTTTCACAAACACTCCCTTTAATGAATTAACTGACCTATAGAAACCCTGCTTATTTCTTCACATGAGGTTTTACCCACAGGCTGGAAAATAAAGTTTTTAAACCTAGAAACACCTAAAAAAAATCAAAATGTTAAAAATGATAAATAAAATATTATATAATTTTTTGATTCTAAAAATTCACATATTTTCTTAAAGGAAATGAGTGTCTTATTTTTAACACAGGAAAATTGTCAAATTTTGACTCTTTTCGATTAAACTTTAATCAGTAGAATTTTTATAAAAAAAAATACAGTGGGACCATAAAAGGGAGATACAAATGACGCGGCCCGCACTATCATATGATTATGCATATGCTTAGCAGACGGTACTTAATTTGAATAAGAAATATTCAGAATAGGTTATTGTATACGCGGTAATTGTACATCAGACAAATATTTCTTATACAAATGAAGTACCGTCTCCAAAGCATGTATAAATCATATGGTAGGGCGGGCCGCGTCAGTTATATCTCCCTTCTATTTCATACTCCTTGGGTGGGTCCCATAAAGCTTTAGAATAGGAAAACGATTAAATGTTATAAAAATTAATAGTCTAAAGAACAAAGAATTTAACAATTTACACCGAGACACCTTTAACCGACCTTTTTCAATAAGCTTATTTTCAACTTATAACGGTGTCCAAATTTAATGAAATTAAGCCACGTTTCAAATCCTCCAAAAACCGGTTTTGAATTTGGCCTCTGATTGTTTAAATAACAGCATCAAAAAAGATTGCTTAAACGTCGTCTTCCTATTCCACAGTTTTATGGACCCGCTGTACTGGAATAAGAGGAAAGATACACTTTAATCCATATAAAATAATAATTTTATAATATTTTGATAATGCGCCTTAGAGTTTATAATACTTAAGTTTATGGCTTCATACATAGGGTTTAGTTCGTATTTTATATATATATATATATTTATATATATATACACTTGTATATATATTTATATATGTTCACATTTTGTAATGTTTATTACTCTTATTTAATCTGTAGCTAGATTTAATCTATATATAGGCATATCATGTGTAAGTATCAATTTATTTCTTGAAACAAAATTTGTATTTATTACTTGATCTAAAGGGACTGTAAGCGTAATTTCATGTGACCCTGCTTGCAAAGAGGGTAACGCCCGCTTAACTTTTGCATAGAAGAAACCACAAATAAAAATGAATTGTTTAAATTGAAGAAAGAAAATTGAGAATATCTAATTCATACTTGAGCAGATAAAGCTTTCAAGAGTACCGTTGTAAATCGGGCATTGCCATTTTTACATGAAGGGTCAAGAACAGTCCTTTTTTAAACTTTTTGTTCTTTTTTCATTCACAAATATTAAATAAGGTTATAAAACGGATGATTTGACAACTTATTTTATGTTTTTAATTATTTGTATTAGGTGTTGCTAAAATATTTTGAAAACATTACAATATAGGATTGATTGAGAGTTGAAAAGAAATACAAGAACTATAAATATATCTGAAACCTTGTCTAGTCCAACCAAGAATGCAATACAGGTTGCTTCAAAAATATTAAGATCTCTTCTGCATATGCACGGTCCAAACAGTGATACATGTCCCTAGTCCAACTTTTCAAGGTTTTACCATTTTAAAAAAATCCTAAAGTAAGTCGACAAATTTTGAAAAATGTTTGTTTTTACTTTTGACAAACATTAACATTAAATTTGAGTGTGAGACATGTTATTACATCAATTTTTCAAGGACTTTTCAAACGTATAAAATTTATATATAATTTTAACTAATTTTTGAAATTTTGACCAGCCGCTTGATCATATCCTCCGATCCTATCCTATGCATAACAATTTTTTTGGTAAATTTGTATTCAACTATGTAGTTGAAAAAGAGAAGAAAATTGAGTTAATTTTCTAGTATAAGACGTTATGCAGAACCCCCCCCCCCATCCTCTGTAATGGTGATAGGGTTAAGATTGTACTGTTGTGTATTTTTGTATTTATTATTTTTCATCCCTGATCCACGCAGTTGATTCAAGAACATCTAATGAACTCTGGGATCTGCAAAAGTAACAAAAATATTATTTTAGTAAAAATCGAATTATTTTCAAAAGCATGATTTTTATTTATTTATGAAAAAGGAGAGATAAAATGGACAGAAGGCATGTATTTTCAAGCAGACTTTGAAATTTGAATTTTGTCAGATTCACAAGGGTACCTTTACAACCTTTGAATGATCAAAAATGAATGAGATATCCATGTTTTTAACTTTGAAAATTGAGTCTTTTCTGAAAAAAAACTTGCGGATTTTCTTTTATACAATAACAATGGAGGAAAGAATTAAATACAGTCCTTTTTATAGGATTAATTAAAATTTTCATACTTAATAATTTTTCCGCTGCAAGCACCCATTCTTGTTCAGAATCTCAACTTTTGTCGATATCGTTCTGAAAAATTATGAGAAATGATGAAAACTGATGAAAAATGATGAAAAATGATGAAAAATGAGGAAAGATGATAAAAAAATGATGAAAACTGATGAAAAATGTTGAAAAATGATGAAAAATGATGAAAAATGATGAAAATGATGAAAATGATGAAAAATGATGAAAAATGATGAAAAATGATGAAAAATGATGAAAAATGAGGAAAATGATAAAAAATGATGAAAATGATGAAAAATGATGAAAATGACGAAAATGATGAAAATGATGAAAAATGATGAAAATGTTGAAAAATGATGAAAAATGATGAAAATGATGAAAAATGATGAATAATGGTGAAAAATGATGAAAAATGATGAAAAATGATAAGAAGTGATGAAAAAATTATGAAAAATTATGAAAAATGATGAAAAATTATAAAAAATGACGAAAAATGATGAAAAACGATGAAAGATGATGAAAAATGATGAAAAATGATGAAAAATTATAAAATATGATAAAAAATGATGAAAAATGATGAAAAATGATGAAAGATGATGAAAAATAATAAAAACTGATGAAAAATGAATAGAATTATCGAAATGCATCAAACGCAATTATAGATTTTAGATTCTGATAAATATTTAATCAAGAAAGCAGAGAATTGTAAAGGTTTAAAGTTTATTAATCGATTTATAAATTAAAGTTAGTAAAGGTTATGAATATGTGAACAATAACAAAGTGTAAACAATAACAAAGACTGTAAACCAAATAACAAAGATTGTAAACAATAACAAAGATTGTAAATAATAACAAAGATTGTAAACAATAACAAAGATTGTAAACAATAACAAAGATTGTAAACAATAACAACGATCGTAAACAATAACAACGATTGTAAACAATAACAAAGATTGTAAACAATAACAAAGATTGTAAATAATAAAAAATATTGTAAACAATAACACAGATTGTAAACAATAACAAAGATTGTAAACAATAACAAAGATTGTAAACAATAACAAAGATTGTAAAGCACAACAAAGTTAGTAAAGAATAACAAAGATTGTAAACAATAACAAAGATTGTAAACAACAACAAAGTTTGTTAAGAATAACAAAGATTGAAAACAATAACAAATATTGTAAACAATCACACAGATTGTAAAGAATAACACAGATAGAGTTAATATTTTGGGGGGTCCATGGAAAACTGTTAAAAATAATCTTTGAAGAAACATCAAACTGATTTAAAAGTAGACGTTTAGATCATATTCCACAAATACGAAACCAATCGTTTTCAGATTTTTCATATATATATAGATTTTCGTATAATTTTGACACAGTTTTATGTCAATTTCTCGAGACTGGAACATCAAATAGATGTCTTATATGTATTATTCAACGCCTGAGATTCTCAGGTTTCATCCTATACCCCCCTTTCATTTTCCTTTACAGTCCCTTTAAGGGTTATGGAAATTTAAAAAAAAAACATTGGACCTAAAAAGTTCTCATAACTACGGAAACTCTGAACATCGAAACTTTAGAATGGAAAAAATCAAGGGGTAGGTGCCCCCCCTTCCCATCATATTTAGGAGGGGTAGGTGCCCCCCCCCATTTCCAACATGTTTAGGGGAAATTCCCCTGACATCTATATACTTTGTAGTCTGTACCAACAGAGCAGGATAAATAGTGTAGCAATACGTAAACAAATATGTAAAAATAGAAAATTTTAATAAAAGTATCAATTTTGCCAATTATTATTATACATTTTTTATAATAAGGCGGGAGGTAGGGGTAGGTGGGAGGGGTGTATCTTTTATCTTTCCAATTTAAATCTATTTTATATATTTACTACTCTATTTTTCATTTGGAAGTTATAAAACTTATTATTGCACTATTTTCGGATTATATAAACCTAACTTTAATTTAGGAAATGCTCCCCCCCCCCTACCCCACCCACCACAACACTCTTTTATGAAAGCAAGCAACGCCATCCTATTAAATGGAAATAGGTCCAGACCGCTAAAAAAAATTGCATCAATTTTTAAGACTGGCCTAACTTTAACGTGCCGCCTTAGCTTTTGACTAAAAGGCACTAATTTGTTTATATATTTTTGTAGCCCTAGGACATGTACATTTTAGAACTTTAAAACACCTTTTTTAATAAAGATTCAGCTTTTTGTAGTGTTTCTAAATATTGTAGGCTCTGCCAATTACTTCTTAAAAATTAAAGCTAAAATCACGCGCTTTAGAGTTAAAAAATGTACTTGTCTAGGTCTACAAAAAAGGACAAGTCAAAAAGTGAGTTTGGACACTTTATGGTCTGCATTTCTAAAAATTGATTTTATTTTTAATTTATGTGTAATTCAAAGTTGGCAACCTCATGTATTTTTGATACTTCAGTCTCTCACTCTCTCTATACTACTATAACGCACTGTACGCAGTTACTCCGGTCAACCTGTTTTAACCTGTCTGAGTTTAATACAAAGCACGCCAACAAGGAAAAGAAAATATTTTAGCGGAGTTTTGGCGCCACTACGGATGCATCAAGAAATTGCTGAAATTCTATTCCTTTCAAAATTGTAAAATCTTGTGAAAAAAAAACTTTGTTTTATGGCGCTACCAGTAACAATTTAAGCTTTTAACGATACATTTCCAGCAACCATTTTTTCACTAAATAAACATTTTCCCGCATTTATCTGTTTAAATTGATGGATTTGCTACAAAAGTTTTAAACCCTATTGGTTCAGCCATTTATTGGATACAGACAAACAAACATATAAATCAAATATGGACACACACAATGGGATTAAACACTAGATACATTTTATTATTTTTTTTTATTAAATTGTACCTATACTACTTAAAGATATATTTAAACAAATTGCTTAAAAAAAGCTATTTTACAAAAGAATATTGCACCCATAAAACGAATGGGAAAATTATGCCGAATAATAGAAAATAAAAATCGAATTGCTTTTCCAACTTGCAATATTATTACGTTGCAAAAGTTATATTTTCTTTTTCTGACGAAAACATGAAATGCAGTTTTTAGAATGATATTATACAAGTTTAAAAAATCATGAAAAAAAATCATGAATAATATTGTACGTTTTTAATGAGAAAGGCAGACAGCGTCAGAAACTGAAAATGAACAAAACAGGAGAGACAGAAAACTCAAGATTCAAGGTTACTTAGCTAACCTTGACAATCAGATAGATAGATAGGTAGATAGATAGATAGATAGAAAGATAGATAGATAGAAACAGGCGCGCAACTAGACAATCAGCTATAGGGGGGGTGGGGGGGGCAAGGTACAAAAATCAGGATATTTTTGGGAAGATTTTTATTTTTGGGGGCATTCATTCAGTTTGGGGCAAATTTGTGTGGGAAAAATTTAAAATTATATTTTGGGGGAAAATTATTTTAGTTTGGATAAATTTCAAATCTTTGTTTGAGGGCAAATTTTATTTTTGGGAGGCTTTTTTCAGTTTGGTGAATTTTGTGTATGGGGTAAATTTTTTTATTTGATGGCATTTTAAAATATATAAAGGGGCATTTTTTTAAAACTAAGCTTGGTTATTTTTTGTTGGGGGCAAAACTTGTTAATTTGTTGAGCATTATCTAAATAATATAAGGGGTATTTTTTCAGTTTGGATTGTACATTTTAAAGTTGGTTGTATTCAAAGAGAATAGAATATATATTAGAGTGGAATTTAGACAATCCCACGGTATGAATTTTGTCAGTCCCTTTCAGCCTGAAAGGAAGCTCAGAGTGTACTGCAATTCATGTAAATGTTTACAAATTATATGCAGTAGAGTACATTAATACAGTATGTTCCCTAGACTATCCAATTTCGATTTTTTTAAAGCTTTTAAATAAACTTTATAAAAAGAATCAGGTGAATAAAAAACATCATTTGATTATAGTTATGACGGAAAATCATCGTTTGTAAAGTGAAAGGCATAATTTGGTTTTCTTTTAATATTAATTTTAGATTTTCTATAAAATGATGTTCCAGGGCCCAAAGTACACCTGCAGTATGGAAACAGTACAACAAAATGGCCGTTTTACACTTTTTTCTAGTAAATTCCACTCTAATATATATTCTATTCTCTTTGGTTGTATTTCCAAAACAATTAGGGGATAAAAAGTTTAATTTAACTTTACGTTTTTAAACCTAAAGTTAAATATTATACTTATATTTGAGGAGTTGTAATCTCTGTTTGTCTGTCTGTTAGTTTGTCCTAACATAACGCAGTCGAACCCCTTGACCGATTTGCCTCACATTTGATAGGGGAACTCAGAAGGCCCACGGAAATGTACTAAGCCTGGTTTTAAGATTCTAAGTTGAGTGGGTCGACTTTAATAGCGAAAATTTAAACTGAATATCCGGTTGGTAAGGTTAGTTTTTTATTGTTTAAGTATAACACACATTTTTCTTGCCCCCCCCTAAAAATGTTTAGGGGGGGGCCAAATGTCTAGTTGCGCGCCTGGTTCAACTCGGGAGAACCACATGAATGTTCCTAACTTGGTTTAAAAGTTCTTACTTGAGCAGGTTAACTTTTATGGGGGAAATCAAGGCAAAGCTGGGTTCCCAAGATAGTAATAAATATTTATTTTTTAATTCTTTGTCTTCGCCATGTCTCAATAACTCATTTTTTCATATTTTTAAAAGGTTTTAAAAAGTTTATAGCTATATAAGAAGCTATGTTTGTATGGGAGATCAATTATCATGCAATGGTAGTTTTGGAATGATACAGGAGGGATTATTTAAGATAGGAGATTATATTTAGAATAACCTTGCCGTTATATAGAGAACAGTGTATCATTAATACATATTTTGTTTAAACCAGAATTTTCAAAACTCATCAAAAGTGTCTTTATATAATACCCCCCCCCCCCCCCCCCGGGCCCTACACTCTTGGCGTCAACTCCGTCAACAGGCAAAGAGTTCTGAATTTTATATAACGTATAAAAGTCACTTTTTACATTTCACTTTTCACTTGGTGTTGCCTGTGCCCAGTAGGACTGAAGTTCTATTAAAAACTATTGCGTTGTCTGTCTTCAATATAAAATATTAAAAACATAGCGGTGAAATAATAGAAAGAGAAAAATATAGTGAAAAAAACCGGTTTTTGGCAGACAAATGTGGAACATTTAAAAATTTTTCACAAAAATGAAATTTTTCAAATTATTTTTAAACCTCAACATGTTTAAAAAAAAAATTTTTTTTTTTAAATTTTTAAGCTCACCCCTGTGCGTATGCAAGGATGAGTCCGCGCCCAAAAACTCATCTGCGCATTTAAAAAGCCCTAAACGCGCGTAGTCAGAAAGAAGTCTGGTTTGGAGCGAAAATTCACGATATCACTAAATCACTGAGTTAATCATATTCTTATATACATTTACATGTATAAAATACATATACCAGGGGCGCAGTCAGGAATGCTTACCAGAGCATTAAATTTTTTTCTTTCTACTGGGGGGGGGGAGCTCATCATCCATTGGGGCCCAAAAACCATAGAAATTCACTGATTCTCGGGGGAGGGAGTTAAAAGCCCCCATAGCCCCCCCCCCCCCATGAATAAGCCTCTAATATATATTATATATCTTATCTTTACACAATTAAAGAAATACAAATTTAAGATTCTGCAGATTTTCCGGGTTTTATTGAAGGATTTGCAACTTATCCTCTTTTTTGAAGGAAAAGTTTTTAAATTTTGACCGGCGCCACAAGTACATTATTCATGAGATCATGTGAGATCCTGGAACAGAGGCTGCTGCTCCAGTCCCGAGGACAGTGCAGCATCAACTGATAAATATTAGAGGCCGTGTCCACGGAGCAGTTACTTTATACTACTGTACATCTCTTTATAAAGTATCTGAACCAGAAACTTAAAGGGACTGTATCCGAACCAGAAACTTAAAGGGACTGTATCCGAACCAGAAACTTAAAGGGACTGTATCCGAACCAGAAACTTAAAGGGACTGTATCCGAACCAGAAACTTAAAGGGACTGTATCCGAACCAGAAACTTAANAGAAGAAGAAGAAGAAGAAGAAGAAGAAGAAGAAGAAGAAGAAGAAGAAAAAGATTAAAAAGGATGAGAAGAATTGAAAAAATTTAATGTCAATTGAAATGTAACTTTGTAAGTATGGCTTCAATATAAATGCAACTTACGAGCAAGGATATTATTATGAATTTAAAATTAAATATCTGCTACATGTTTGTTAATACCTGTAATATACGTGTAGTGCATAAGTGGTTCTAACTTCAAAAAATGTAGCCTGCAGCCAATTTAAAGGCATTGTTTTTTTTCAGAGGAAAAATCGTTATAATTGTGGATATTGCGATCTTTTCTCATTAATCTGCAGATTAATTTAATCTTATATTACTATCCAAAATGCAAAGTCTCGTCTGCATAAACAGCTGAACAGCTAATCAGAAGCTGAGACATTTTTTGCGCAATCAATGAAAGAACTTTCATTGATCGGAACCCAGCAGGGATATCCAAAACAGAGGATTAAGAAGAAAATCAAAAGTGTCCACATGTGGATATCGAGATGTCCAGTACAAGAGTTTTTCAGCTTTGATCAATAATGTTTCTACTTTTGCTTGACAAGATTCTTCATCATTTTCTACAGCAGAAATCCGCAGCAAAACATCCAAAAGTCGAAATCAGAATTGCACTTGAATATAGTCAATGTTCTAAATTCAAAACATCTTTATATTATATCATCACAAAGCGTTATAGAGGACCTTTGTGATTCCTACACATCTCTATGATTGAAAATACGGATATAGTTAACGTCAATCAATTCATACTTTTCTGCGAAATATCTCATATTCTTAAAAATGCTGATTAACCGCTTTTTATCACTCTCCTATTGCTTAGTAAATTTGAATATTCAAGTCAGTTCTTTTTCTTCTTTTTCTCTACTTTGTTATTATAAAGCGGTTCCTATGATGTCAAGGTTATATCTTACAGACATGTGCAAGAAAGCTAGGGTGGAGGGAGGTAAAATTATTTTACAAGTATTTTTTTTTTTTTTTTGGGGGGGGGGGTAATTTTTTAGACATAATTTGGACTTAAAAAAAATATTTAATTCCCTAAAATAATCAAAGATATTTATACGTACAGCTATACATACAGATCCTTTAAGGAAGATAATACACCTACATACAGACCCTGTAGGGAAGATAATACACCTAAATAAGACCCTTTAAGGAAGATAATACACCTGCATACAGACCCTGTAAGGAAAATAATACACCTACATACAGACCCTTTAAAGAAAATAATACACCTACATACAGACCCTTTAAGGAAGATAATACACCTACATACAGACCCTTCAAAGAAGATAATACATCTACATACAGACCCTTTAAGGACGATAACTATACACCTACATACAGACCCTGTAGGGAAGATAATACACCTACATACGGACCCTTTACGGAAGATAATACACCTACATACAGACCCTGTAGGGAAGATAATACACCTAAATAAGACCCTTTAAGGAAGATAATACTTGCATACAGACCCTTTAAGGAAGATAATACACCTAAATAAGACCCTTTAAGAAAGATAATACACCTACTACAGACCTTTTAAGGGAGATAATATTTTTCTATTCTGTTTACAATTGAATAAAAGAACATGTTCGGATGAAATAGTCAATAGATACATTACCTTTACTATTCTGTATTCTCTAGATACTAAAACTATACCAGCTCTAATTGCAAGTCCATTAACTCTAAAATGGCGAGGGGGGGGGGGCTTCAAAAATGCATTAAATACAAAGTATGCATTCCATTTGCTTATAGACCAATTTTAACAGGCATGTTTGTTTCAAGGACTTTTTAAATATATTACAATAATGATTATTGGCCATTTATAGCGACACCTATATATTTTACATACATATATAATAATAAATTTTAAAAAAGGGTTGGGGCGGAGGAGGGGGGGGATGACATATAAATCGTTAAAATCATTCCATATCTTAAAACTTTCAAAAATCTTTTCATAAAAAGAAGTTTTTTTTTATCCACTTAAAAAACTATAGAGTTTGTAATTATTTTTTAAACAGTTGCCGCCCCCCCACCCTAATTGGAAGATAAGATAGTAGAAAGAGTATTAAAATAACAATTTATATATAAAAAGAGAAAATCAAACAAGTGTTTTCAGTAAACCATGTTTATTTACCCTGAAGCACTATAAAAAGTGTACCTGCAATTATCAATATGTTCTCAAGGTGACTAATTTTTGTAATCCATGCACATTAAAATTAAATTCATTTAAGCTTAATGACTAACTAAAAATCTTTTAGCTATTCCTTTCATTCTGTTCTTGATTTTATTAGATTCTATCAAAGTTTTATGAGATTCTTTCGAAGTTTTATGAAATTCTATCAAAGTTTTATGAAATTTATTAAAATTTTATGAAATTCTATTAAAGTTTTATGCAGTTCTATCAAAGTTTTATGAAGTTCGCTCAAAGTTTTATGCAATTCTATCAAAGTTTTATTCAATTCTATCAAAGTTTTATGAAATTCTATCAAAGTTTTATAAAATTCTATCAAAGTTTTATGAGATTCTTCCGAAGTTTTATGAAATTTTATCAAAGGTTTATTGGTTCCCATGGAATCTATATTAATAAAAATTTTATTGGAGTTTTCGCTATGTCGCACACAACGATAGAATCGTTTCTAACAGTGCATGTTTTATCGTTAGAACTATGTCAGTTGTAGAATACTAACAGGACACCAACGTTATTGTAGAATATTCATCAGTAATGTACTTTTGTATTATGTATTTAGGCTTTTAGCCAACAAAACGTGTCGGGTAACTGTTTTAAAAAGTGTTTTTTTTTTGGCAGACAAGGGCGTACACAGGGGGGGCAAGGTGGACCGTGCCCTCTCTAGACCTGTAAAAGGGGGGCGCAGCCCAACCCAACTAGAACTGAGAGCTATAACACTTTTCAAATCTAAAACTGAAGAGTGAAGAGCATAAAAAAAAAGTTTGCTGTTTTTTTCTGCTAGTTTTGTTTGAAGGAGAAATAAAGTATTATTTGTAAGGTAATTGGACTGTGTACTTTTAAAGTATCCAAGAAGCCAAATGTTTTGAATTTACAGTTCAAATTTTGCCCCCCCCCCCATATTTATTTCTGTGTACGCCCTGGTTTGCAGATAACATGCCTATTTGTATTGTACGAATTTCATTTTAGCCTTCAACTGTAAATTAGGCATACTTTTTAAGGTGAAAAGACATTTTGGAGCTAAACATGACCCCCCCCCCCCTGCTGCTTTATTGACTTTGCAATACTGACTTTTAGTACATAAAAAAACGTTTAATAGGCAAAAAAGCTTAAACACACTTTTTTCAGAAGCACCCGGTGCATATCTACATAAAAAATATTTTTTGTAAAAATATGGAATTAGAAAATGCTGTATACTCTCAAATTTCTTTGGTAAATGAGGTAAGATGATTTTTTCTACAAGTGACCCTAACATTGGTTTTCTACAAGTGACCCTTTTATTGGCTTTCTACAAGTGACCCTAACATTGGTTTTCTACAAGTGACCCTTACATTGGTTTTCTACAAATGACCCTTACATTGGTTTTCTACAAGTGACCCTAACATTGGTTTTCTACAAGTGACCCTTGCATTGGTTTTCTACAAGTGACCCTAACATTGGTTTTCTACAAGTGACCCTTACATTGGTTTTCTACAAGTGACCCTTGCATTGGTTTTCTACAAGTGACCCATACATTGGTTTTCTACAAATGACCCTTACATTGGTTTTCTACAAGTGACCCTAGCATTGGTTTTCTACATATGACCCTTACATTGGTTTTCTACAAGTGACCTAACATTGGTTTTCTACAAGTGACCCTAACATTAGTTTTCTTTAAATCTTTATTAGTCCAACAATGGAAGATAAATACATGTTTCAAACTCTTAAACAATGTTTAATGCAGATAATTTAAACATTGTTTTTACAGGAGGAATTTGCAAGTTAGTTCAGAGAGAAAGCACTATTAATCCTATTCCTGCTATTGAAAAATTTGATACAATTTTGAGTGAAATCAACCATATTTAAGCCGAGGTTTAAATTTAAGCCGCGGCTCAAATTCATTAAATTCGGCCTCTGATGTGAATAATGTTACTTGAAATTACGTAATCACTCACTTTGAGCATAATTATTATTCTTTTTTCTTCTTTTTTTATAGATTTATTATCATTTTCTTACATATTTAGTTTTTATTATTTATTGTATGAGGTTAGTGGATTACAGAATAATCAACGGAGGACATATTTTTATTTTTATCAAGAAAAGAAAAAAGTTTTTCATTTGTAACTATTTCATGTATATAAATATATAACTGTTTTATAGGGAGTGTGTCCACAAACAAATCGTCGATTATCCATCGTCTAATAACAAAACGTCGATATTAAAAAACGGTAACTGTTACAAAACTTCGAATAACAAAACGTCGATAATAAAAAACGTCAACTATTACAAAACTTCGAATAATAAAACGTCGATAGTAAAAACGTCAACTATTACATAACTTTGAATAACAAAACGTCGATAATAAAAAACGTCAACTGCTAAAAAACTTCGAATAACAAAACGCTGACTACAAAATGTTACATCATTTTTGGTTTATTCAGGTTAGGACAATTATTCTTTGGTTGGCCCTATTTCTTATGTAAACATACTTGAAATATAACTGTAATAGATATATGTAATTCCTTATATTTGTCATATCTGAAAAAGCGACCTTGGAAACAAAGCATAGCAGTATTGGAAGCTGCCTACTAGAATTTTCGAGCTTATTCTATGAGGTTAGAATAGAGAATGATAGAAAAAACAGTGTAATTAAAGAATATAGAATAATATTGAATTAGATTAGACGATGTTAAAAATATAGAATATAAAATACAGAGTATAGAAATTAGAATATAGAATATAGAGTATATAAATAATTTAGAATATAGAATATAGAATTTAGAACAATCATGATTAAGGAATATTTTCATTTATTAGGAAACAAGCGTATTACAGAAACCGACTTTCAAAGATGATTTAAAGGTATTTTTTTTTTAATATTTAAAAGAAAAAAATAAATAATATGTCTTTTTTTAGGTGTACATTTTCTTTTTCATTATGACCATCGTTGCTGGGTTGATAGGTGGCTATTTTTTATCACAATTTTTTTTAAGCATAAAGGGGCGCACCTTACAAGCGTTTTTCCATACAAATAACCTGAGCTGAAAACTTTAGAATGAGATATCCCTAATCTTGATTACTTAATCTGAGTATCCAATGGACACCCTATTGATTTTCTTCTTAACCGTTCTTTATTGGATAAAGTAGAGAAAAATCAAAAACTGGTTTTTAAAATTAGAGAGTCCCTCGCGTTTCTATATATTAATCTTAAATGGCGCGCAAAATTTCAAATTTATCGGCTTCATATACGCGACTTTTTGATTGGTTGAATTTTATCCACTTTTCAGGATACAAGTACAAGATTAGGTTTAACTCGAGATTAAGAAAAAGAGAGGATCAAGCATTAATCTCAATATCCACCATTCTAAAGTTTTCAGCTCTGAGCTGAAAACATTAGAATGTGATATCCTTAATCCCGATCTGTTAATTAATCTGGAGATTAAATTCATGAGGACAACAAGCAATATTTAATCTGGAGATTAAGAAAAAGAGTGGATCAAGCATTAATCCTGATATCCACCATTCTAAAGTTTTCAGCTCTGATCAGAGCTGGGAACTTTAGAATGGATAAACTTTAATCCTGACTTCTTGATCCGAATATCCACTGTGGAAACTTTTCATTTTTGTCCTAATCCACTCTTTTTCTCTCTCCTTGGATATCCGTTAATTGTTTTCTCCTATGAGAATATTTCTGTTCTCTCATTGGTTGTCCGCTTTTCTCTGATTGGGTGCTACAGTTTCTCAGATGATAACAGTTTTTCATACACTTTTAAGATAATCTTGCAAGATTAGGTTAATCTTGAGATAATCAAAAAGAGAGGATTAAGCATTAATCCTGATATCCACCATTCTAAAGTTCCCAGCTCCGATCAGATGAATGTTTTAAGTATACCCTGTACGTGAATCGGGCATTACATAATTTGAGTAAAATTGAATAAAACTGTATATGTTATTGAAATGGGTATCACGCTTGCAAAAAGGTTTCTGTTGTGATTTTTAGTTTTTATAGTTTGTTTTCGATCAAATTAAAAATTCAGACAAAAACTTTTTCGCACTCAATAATACCCATTGGCCATTACAATGACATGAAGAGATATTTTTTATTAATCTTTAACATTAAAATTTAGCTATAATGATTTTCCAAATAGTAGTTTAGTTTTAAGGACTCATCAGTATGGCTCTATTCATCAGATTTGATTTTTGCAGTTGACGGGACTTGAACCATGAATCTTTAGATTATGAATCAAACACGCTAACCACTGCTCCATCAAATCCTGATGATATATTTATATATCTTATTGGTATTTTTGTGAGAAACAAAGTTTCTTTTAGCCTGACAAAATTATATCACGATTAAGAAATATATTTTATTTGGAGCTGACCACCTGTATTTGGAGCTGACCACCAAGCTGTATTATTTAATAAACAAGACAGGAGAAATTGTCAGAATCAACACTTTTCAAGCTTTTAAACGACAATATATTCTGCACAGTCTTGATCAATGTAAATCGGACCTGTCCCTCCTTAAATGGAAGGTCCTTTTTAATTACAATAACATTGCACGGGCAGCCGTTGTACATTTGAATTTCCGAGCCGGGTCAACCTTTCCGGTCCCAGTTTGTACTGTACACCGCATGGACATTGGGTTAATAAAGCAGACAATCAGCCGGTGCAACAAGGTGGACGCGGTCAGACTTTATGCTTCATATAAGTTGAATTTACTTTTACTAAAGGGGCAGAGGTGCGTGATTGTCTTTAACAAGAACAATTTTTCTTTCAGGATTCTGACTCATGAGGATTGATCAGTCGAGAAAAATGGAGTTTAATATTTTTGTTCTTAGATCCCTCTATGCATGATGCATCTATATATATAAAGTTGTAATCTCTCTTTGTCTGTCTGTTTGTTTGTTTGTCCGATCATAAATCAGGAACCCCGGGACCGATTTGCCGCAAACTTTGATTATGCAACTCGGGAGACCCATGGGAANAAATAGTATTTAAGAAAAAAGTCTAAAAAATTATGTTTAATGGGTCAAATTGTGATCGAAAGTCACAGCTTTCTGGAATATTGACAGAACCGTTAAATCCACGTGCCCCGGGACCGATTTGCCGCAAACTTTTATTGGGCATCCCGGGAGACCCACGGGAATGTTCCTAGCTTGATTTTGAGATTCTACGTAAGTTGATTGGGTTTACATAAATAGGAAAAAATCAGTTTCCCGGTAAAATTGTTCAAATGCGGGTAAATGACGGGAGAAATTTGAGTCTTTTTACTCCCATTTATGGCTGTATGCAGCTGTAAACTTTTTTTCTTCAAATATTCAAAAATGCCTTTTAAAGACTACATTCAAGACAGAAATCCTAATTTAATCTTTAAATGGTTGTTTCTAAAAAGTTTTAGGTCGTCTTTAAGTGTCATTATTTGAGGAAAGTACTGTGAATGCCTGGTTTTACATACTGTCCACTGTACTGTCTATATTGTACTTTTTGTTCATACATTGTCCACTGTACTGTCTATATTGTACTTTTTATACATACTGTCCACTATACTGTCTATATTGTACTTTTTATACATACTGTCCACTGTACTGTCTATATTGTACTTTTTATTCATACGTTGTCCACTGTACTGTCTATATTGTACTTTTCATACATACTGTCCACTGTACTGTCTATATTGTACTTTTTATACATACTGTCCACTGTATACTGTATATATTGTACTTTTTATACATACTGTCCACTTTATACTGTCTATATTGTACTTTTTGTACATACTGTCCAGCGACTACTGTCTATATTGTACTGTTTATTAATATTTTAAGTTATTGTGATAAAAACTAGGATCATTGATTATATACAAACAAAAAAATAAAGTGACTGAAATATACTTATTTTTCCAGCTGAAAACTGATTATTTTCAATCGTGGGCTCTCTTTAAAAGTAAGTCCGCTTCCTGCATGGAAAATGTTTTCTCTTTGCTACTCGGTTCAAGGTTGTAAATCGTCCGTTAAATCGGTCATCCCACTCTATAAATCGTCCATGCCCTTATATTAATCGTCCATGTCGTACTATAAATCTGCAATGCAACTCGACTACATGTCTTCCTTTCCATTCTTTCAATCGTCCATGCCACTCTATAAATCGTTCATGCTGTTCCATAAATCGGCCATGGAACTTTATAAGACGTCCTAGCCACTCTATAAATCGTCCATGCCACTCTATAAATCGTCCATGCTGTTCCATATATCGGCCATGGAACTTTATAAGACGTCCTTGCAACTCCATAAATCGGCCATGCCACTCAATAAATCGGCCATTCAACTCTATAAATTGTCCTTGCCATTCTATAATCAGCTCATTTAAATATATGATTCATGTTCCCGAAAATACACTAAGTATTGAGAAAACATAAAACCTGTTTTAACATGAAGGGAGAAAAAAATTAAAAACATAAAAAAAAATTATCTGAAATTGAACACGAAATTTATTTCAGTGATTATTCTTTGACTAAAAGTTAATATTTTGCCCTGAAATTTAAACACATAAGGCACAGCATAATGCCTTCTGTCTGGGAGGGGGGGATGATATAGAGATTTTTCTAATATTTGACTTACAGTGAGGCCCAAAAAAGTTTTATGATTCTAACCAAGAAGATAATCGAAAGATACAAAAATTCACAACTATTCTGAGAAGCTATTTTAGGGATTTGAAGTTTTTTAAAAACCCAATAGTGCCGTTTTTCGGTCCCTCTGTATAGCTTAAAAGCGAAAATATCCATAAGAAAACTTGGTAAATATAAAATATCCATAAGAAAACTTGGTAAATAGAAAATATCCATAAGAAAACTTGGTAAATAGAAAATATCCATAAGAAAACTTGGTAAATAGAAAATATCCATAAGAAAACTTGGTGAATAGAAAATATCCATAAGAAAACTTCGTAAATAGAAAATATCCGTAAGAAAACTTTGTAAGTACAAAATTTATTTTTTAGGGGGTTAGTCCAACCTTCCCGTCTTGTTTTCGAGTATTCAGGAGCACAATACGAGGACAGGTATATTATATATCTTTATATCCTTAGTAATCATATTATATTCAATACGAGGACAGGTATATTATATATCTTTATATCCTTAGTCATCATATTATATTCTAGGTTTGATGACTCTTGGTACAACTAAATTAGTCAACGGAAACTTTAATGATCTTGAAAAAAATATTCAGGCGGAAAGCAGAGGCAAATGTTAATATTATATGATTATATGATATATGTATCAAATTCCTGGGATTTTATTCGCCACTGCACACAAGGCCTGGGGGGGTCTGAATCTATGTATGGCCTGGGGGTGGGGGATGTCCACGCCCCTCCTAGAAAAAGGCCTGAGAGAATAGGTATAGGGTTGAAATGCATGTTCATAGCCCGATTTTTCAAAGCCAGCTTATTGAAAGAAAATTAGATCGATACCATTTATTTTTTTGGGTGCTAGGGATGGTTAAAAAAATGCCAGAAAAGGTCAACAAAATGTAAAAAGTATATTTTTTGCTCAAAACAAATATCAAAGTGTGACACATGTTTCTACATCCATTTTTCAAGGGCTTTTCAAAAATGTAGTTTTTAGTTCTGTAGCTTTAGTCATAAAAAATATGGGCTATTTAAATTTTTTTATTTTATACTTTACTTTTAATTTTTACCACCCTGTACCCTAATTTCCCCCCCCCCCCGTCTAGCCTGTTTAGGAGTAAAGATTAATTTTCGAAGAAAAAAAATTACCTACATGAAGACGACTTTTAGAATTAAGTTATAGCTTTAAAAATTCCAATGAGGATATGAGACACAGCAATTGTTTCTATATTGTTTTCTGATTATCACCGTAAATGCGCCTTACTTAGTTTTAGTAAATAATTTAATTTGAAGTTCAAATTTTTCAACGCTTTTTTGAATTCTGACCATCTACAAACCATCCATGGGGTCATGTGAGGTCCAAAGTGGGGCCCCCATCAGTTAAGTTGTTTTGAGGTTTATAGGTTACAATCTAAACCAACAATTACAGGAAATTATAGTCTCTAAAAAAACAGGATATCTGATAATTATGCTTAAAATCCTTTAAAATGATTTACAAAAAAATTTTTATTTTTTGAAAATATAATTTTAGGCGTATTGTAATGAGTAAACCTGATTGGTTGGCTCATAAAACTACTCTTGGTTTTGATTTCCCCAACCTACCTTTCTATGAGGTAAATGGATATACAAAGATCTGAGGCCGGATTTAATAAATAGAAAGAATTGGTTGAACCCAAGGTTATAATGCAAGGAAAGTTATTTCACAGGTGTACGCATCTTTTGTACTGCAGTGTATTGTCTATGGGCGGTAATGTAAACACAAGGACGGATGTCACAGCCTGACATGGGATCCATCTTTCACATAAAAAATCAATGAAATATTCTGGTCAAGAAAACTATTATGTGAATTATCAAAATATTATGCTTTTATCCTCCTCGGATACTAAACGAACACTGATGCATCTATTCTTGTTTACAAATTCCGCCCAGAGCCCAAAACTTAAGACAGGGTATCGTTATGAAAACCAGTTTTAAAACCCGGGTTTCACGAATGGGTTTAGGCATTTTTTGTGAATATCAGTATTATACATATACAAAGAAAAGCTTTTTACTTCAGTTATAAGCAGCCAAAATATTTACAAATCTTTAATAAACTTGGATATACAAGGTTTTTCACAGAAGATGGGATGTCAGGTAAACAATGAATTTAAATCTGGACATTTTAGAAGAAAATAATTCTTTTAGCTGACATTTGTTTTTTTGAAATCAGGGATTTAAATATCAGGATTCAGGATCACCCCTTTACAGGAACATACCTGAAGGGGGGGGGCGAAAAGTGTTCGAATTGCATGTGACTCTCCATTTTTCGAGTGCCATGTCCGATTCACAACGGTACCCTTTAACTCAAAGCTTTGTCTTATCAATAGAATGCATGATGTGATATATATTAATCATCATCTCTCTGAAAGTTGGTTACTTTCATTTGTGGGTTCTCTAAAAAATTCACTTACGCATTTCTGCTTCAGATACAATATAGAGAAAATTGTCAAGATAAAAAATTTCAAACTAGAAAAACTTTGATATCTTTCACATAATTGAAAAGCTAACGGTTTAAATGAGACATTCCCCAGATCTTTAGACGGAATGTCACGAGATCCTCGACAATATCTTTTAGCTAACGGTTTAAATAAGGTATTCCCCAGATCTTTAGATGGAATGTTACGAGATACTCGACAATATCTTTTAGCTAACGGTTTAAATAAGGTATTCCCCAGATCTTTAGATGGAATGTTACGAGATACTCGACAATCTCTTAAAGAATTACACTCAGTTAGTTACGCCCTGCCCTTACATCATTAATTACAATGAGTATACAAGAAATATTAAGAAACTTAGCCTGGGCAGCAATAATTTTGATTATATTTTACAGAGCGTCCCATTTCATATTAGATTATCTCCAATCTTTAACTCTAAAATACGCACATAATACTAGAAAAATCTAGCATTTTCTGCAAAAAAAATTTCTATTAGCCTTATTAAATTTTTCAAAATAATTCATTCTTCTTAAATTTTCTGATTTTCCCGCCAAATCGGAATTTAGACTCATTGACGCAGTTGCAGTAGTCTAATTTGATGTGGGACACTCTGTAAATAATGAAGATGTAAGGAATCCTTATGTACCTTCTATGACCAAAACCAAGGATTTTACCATGAACTTCTAGCTTTGTTTCCAAATAAATTGTACTTCTTTATAATGAAGATATGAGGAATCCTAATGTACACAGTACCTTCTATGACCAAAACCAAGGATTATTCCATGAACTTCTATAATATTTAACATTATTGATCAGATTAAGGTTTCAAGGATACCGTTTTAAATGCTCCTTTAAAAATATGTTTTACCCTTTTATTTGTTCGCTAACACTCCCTTTAAATCAAAATCTACAAGCTAGCTCTGTTTTATGTTCTCAAGTTATGATGATACTGTTAATTTATGATTGGTGGTGCAGCTTCAATGGAAGGTAAATAAACAAAACATTTAAATTTTGTTTATTCTTAGAAATAAATGTGTCAATAATATATGTAATTATTTTTGAAATATATAAATTTTGGAACTTAAATATTCTGCATGTTGGAAAAAGATATTTTTTTGAATTTGTCAATAATCAGTTGATTTCTGTAACAGTAGAAAAAGCTAAGTTTAAATAAAAAGTAAGCACATTTAAAATTGTATTACAGTAAGAACAAGATTTTTGTCATTTCAGCTTGATTTTGATGATTTTTTACATTTTACATCGTTTTATTATCATGTTCATTAATCTTTAGCTTTACTGTAAATTGGACATTTTCTTGTGAACTTGATTTAATGATTTTTAATAAAAAACGATTCTTTTAAAATAATTGTTNATTGTAATACTAAAATAATAAAAGTAAAACTAAGATCATTGATTACATGATAAAATATTAACAAACCAAAAAAATAAAGTTACTGAAATATCCTTATTTTTCCAGCTGAAAACTGATTTTTTTCAATTGTGGGCTCTCTTTGCATAGACAATACTGTCTCTTTGCTTCTCGGTTTAAGGTTGTAAATCATCCGTTAAATCGGCCATCCCACTCCATAAATCGGCCATGCCACTCTATAAATCGTCCATGCACCTATATTAATCGTCCAGTCGTACTATAAATCGGCAATGCAACTCTATGTCTTCCTTTCCACTCTTTCAATCGTCCATGCCACTCTGTAGATCGTCCATGCCACTCAATAAATCGGCCATGCCATTCTATAAATCGTCCACGCTCCTCTATAAATCGTCCATGCTGTTCAATAAATCGGCAATGCAACTCTATATATCGTCCTTTCCACTTTTTCAATCGTCCATGCTGTTCTATTGATCGGCCATGGAACTTTTTAAGTCCTCCTTGCCACTCTATAAATCGGCAATGTCACTTTGTAAATCGGCCTTTCAACTCTATAAATCGTCCATGCCATTCCATAAACAGCTCCTTTAAGTACTCGTTTTATATTTTTCATGTACCAGAAAATACACAAAGTATTGAGAAAACATAAAACCTTTTTAACATGAGCAGAGAAAAAAAAATTAAAACATAAAATTTTTTTTTTCTGAAATTAAACAGGAAATTTATTTCAGTGATTATTTATTGACTAAAAGTTAATATTTTGCCCTGAAATTTAAACAAACAAGGCATAGCATAATGCCTTCTGTCCGGAGGGGGGGGGGGAGAGGGGGCCGGTTATCAGTCGAAGATAACATGTTGCCAGATCATTTTATTAACTCTTTTTACTCCCACATTTTCAGCAAATTAAAATAGTGCACAATACCGCTAATCTTTGAAAATTAGGTTAACCGTTATAACATATTTAACATATCAGACATGTTTCTGTTTATTAAAATTATTTTGAAGCATGCAAGCTTGTTAGTGTTTCAGTCAATTTTTAAGTTACCAAAATAGACTGTAAGATATTGATTGTAAGATAAGCACTTTATTCTAAAATTATCACAAACATAAAATTGCACTAGGCGGTAATGTAAACACAAGGACGGATGTCGAAGCCTGACATGGGATCCATCTTTCACATAAAAAAATCAATGAAATATTCTGGTCATAGGAAACTATTATGTGAATTATCAAAATTATCAAAATTTAATGCTTTTATCCTCCTCGATTACTGTGAGAACACTGATGCATCATTCTTGTTTACAAATTCCGCCCAGAGAGAACTGGTTTCAATATGTACGGTACGCGGAGTAAACACAACTGCAATTAACTTTCCTTCCATTATAACCATGGTACAAATTATCAGATTAAAACACTTTCCTTCTTGAAAAATGTCATTGTAACTTCCACATTATTCTAAAAAAGGCATCAAGGGTACCAAGTGGAATCAGGCATTGCCATCTTTGAATCGAGATTTCCTTAAATTTATGCTTTGCAGTTCCTCTAAGGGAACCGTTGTAAATCGAGTATATGCCATCTTTTTGTAGACGGCGGAAAGTCTATGCTATCTTTTTGTAGACGGCGAGGAGCATATGCCATCTTTTTGTAGACGGAGGAGAGTATATGCCATATTTTTGTTTAGGGCGGAGAGAATATGCCATCTTTTTGTAGACGGCGGAGGTTTATTTGAACAACTTATGTTTACAGTTCCTTTTAGGTTTTAATCTCTTTCAGATTTGGAATGACAAACCCGATTCTTGGATATTGGGATATTAGGTTAATCCCCCTGGATTTAAGCATTTACAATATTCGGATATATCTCTATTAACATTGAATCTATGTTTGGTTAGCTGAATTTGATAAAGAGATTTTCTAATATTTGACCTACAGTGAGACCCATAAAGCTGTAAAATTGAAAGACGACATTGAAGCAATCTTATGTATACACCGAGCAATTCCTGTATACCGTAACTACTAAAATATTTAAAATCATAAACTGGGTCTATGTGTCGTTTTCATATTCCACAGTTTTATGATTCTAACCAAGATACAAAAATACACTACACCTTTCAAAGTAAACAACTGTTCTGAGAAGCTATTTTAGGGATTTGAAGTGTTTAAAAACCCATGATAGTGCCGTTTTTCGGTCCCTCCGTATAGCTTAAAAGCGTAAATATCTACAACAAACTTGGTAAATACAAAATTTTACTAATTATTTAGGGGGTTAGTCCAACCTTCCCGTCTTGTTTTCGAGTATTCCGGAGCTCAATACGAGGACAGGTATATTATATATCTTTATATCCTTAGTAATCATATTATATTCAATACGAGGACAGGTATATTATATATCTTTATATCCTTAGTAATCATATTATATTCAATTCGAGGACAGGTATATTATATATCTTTATATCCTTAGTAATCATATTATATTCAATACGAGGACAGGTATGTTATATATCTTTATATCCTTAGTAATCATATTATATTCAATACGAGGACAGGTATAATGGTTTGGGTGCTAGGGAGGGTTAAAAAAATGCCAAAAAAGATCAACAAAATGATAAAAATATTATTTTTTGTTTAAACAAATATCAAAGTGTGGCACATGTTTCTATATCCATTTTTCAAGGGCTTTTTCAAAAATACAGTTTTTAGATCTGTAGCTTTAGTCATAAGTTATGGGCTATTTTAAATTTTTCATTTTACACAGACCGGACATTTAACCGCCCTGTACCCTCCTTATGCATACAAATTTTTTTAAAAAATCCTTTTCTATTTTTTAAGAAAAAAATTTCCATGGTGATAGTGTCAAAAATGAGAGAACTATGGGAAAAACCAGAGGAGGGGTCAACCCCCCCCCCCTGCCTCTGTCTTGGGTTAAAGGGACTGTATAAAAAATGAAAGGGGGCCGGTTCAGGCTAAAACCTGGCCTTTTTGTGCCCTTTACCCTCCTTATGCATAAAAAAAAATTTACAAAAAATCCTTTAAATTTCTATTTGTTATAAGTCAAAAAATTTCATGGTGATAGTGTCAAAAAAAATTACCAACAGAAAGACGACTTTTAGAATAAGTCCAATGAGCATATGAGACACAGCAATTGGTTCTATTGTTTTCTGGTGAATGGTTATCACTGTAAATGCGCCTTACTTAGTTTTAATAAGTAAATCTAATTGAAAGTTAAATTTTTTTCAACGCTTTTTATAATTCTGACCATCTGTAAACCTTCCCTGGGGTCATGTGAGGTCCAACGACAAATCTGGGCCCCCATCAGTTTAGTCGTTTTAAGATTTATTTATATTTAATGCCGGAGATGTTTTCCTGTCATAGCTGTGTTGAGAATATTACGGCGGGTAGACTGTAGCACAGGCTTCACCAGGATCGTCTTTCATATATATTTGTTGATTGACATTATCCCAACAAGGTTACAATCTAAACAAACCAATAATTACAAGAAAGTAAACTCTCCGATTAAAACCAAAATTACAGATAAAGCTTGAATTGCTCTTTTAAATTGAATTGCTCTTTTTATGATAGTTATGCTAGTTTAAAATGATTCACAAAAAAATTTAATTTTTTAAAAATATAATTTTAGGCGTATTCTAATGAGTCAACCTGATTGGTTGGCTCATAAAACTACTCTTGGCTTTGATTTCCCCAACCTACCTTTCTATGAGGTAAATGGATTTCCAAATCAAAGAAATAACAAGTTATAAAGATCTAAGGTCGGATTTAATAAATAGAAAGAATTGGTTATAAGGCAAGGAAAGTTATTTTACAGGTGTACGCATCTTTTGTACTGTAGTGTATTGTCTCTTGGCGATAATTAAACACAAGGACGGATGGCACCACCTGACATGGGATCCATCTTTCACATAAAAAAAATCAATGAAATATTCTGGTCATAAGAAACTATTTTGTGAATTATCAAAATTTTTTTAATTCAATGCTTTTAACCTCCTCGGATACTAAACGAATACTGGTGCATCTATTCTTGTTAACAAATTCCGCCCAGACAGAACTGGTTTCAATATGTGCGCAGAGTATACGCAACTGCAATTAACTTGCCTTGCCTTATTACCTTGGTTGAACCCAGAACTTTGGAGACACTGAAAGAATTTCTAAAATGCCGTTTGGGCAATTTTTTATATTAAACCTAATCCTCAATAATAGTAAAAATAAGTAAATACCCTTGAAATATGCTGGAACTGTTTAAAAAACTCAATATATTTATTAAATAAAAACAAAATATCTGCAGCAGGAGAGGTAGGAGACGAAATTTTATAACTTTATTTGATGCCACCAAAGTTTTAAGTTAAAGTGTCCTTCATTGAATCTGACCTTTGAAATATTTTTATAATTATTACTTGGAAAAGATCCTAATTTTGTTTTATAAAAGTTTAATTTTAAGTATTTTCTTTTTCTCTTCACAGGATGAGGATGTTAAAATAACACAAAGTCTGGCAATCTTGAAGCATCTTGGTAAGCTGAGCAAATTACATATTTACTTTTTTTTGAAATATTTTTGAATTAAAAAAAATGGTTTTGCCGATTTTTTTTTTTGGTTTTGAGAAAAACGTTTTTTAGAACTTCATACATTAGATATTTATACATTAATTTATTGAAAAGTTAGGTTTTGGGGCAAAACCCCCATTCAATGTTGAGGATCAATTGCGAATTTCACATTCATTTAAAGACAAAGGGAAGGTCCCAAACACAAATGCATCAGGCCCTTTTTTCTAACATCTATATCTTTCTAACATGATATTGGAATTAAATCTGACAAAATTTATAGATTGAAATATCAAGGGTCTATGACATCTTAAGATATAAGGATAAAAAATTAGAGTTTCAGGCAAATTTCGGTTCCTTAGTTGAAATTTCAAAATGGCGGCTTCAGGTCGTAAGTTTGGTTTGGATGGTTCGACTGTACGCGCCAAGGCCGAGGTTGACATGGTTCTAGATGAAGCAGCTGATGTCAGAAATGTAATATTTTATATATAGATAAATAGATAGATACAGTTTAACCCAGAACTTCGGAACCATCGAAAGAATTTATAAAATGTTGTCTTGACAATATTTCAATGGGTTTTTATCCCTAACAACCAGCGACGTCGCGCGACCAGTCCCATTAGGTTGAGATAGGTCGGGTTACATCAGAGATTAGCAAACTGGTCACAATATAACCATTCCCCTTATGTCGCGTTAGGTCCAGTTAGATCGGGTTATGTCAGATTACCAAACTGGTCGGACACATGACCAGTCCCCCTAGGTTGTGTTTGGTCAGGTTAGGTCGGGTTAGGTCGAATAACCTAACTGGTCTCATACTGGTCTTAACCTGACCAATCCACTTAGGTCGAATTTGGTCGAGATTGGTTGAGTTATGTCAGGAGACCTAACTGGTCGGAACATGACCACTCCCCCTAGGTCGTGTTTGGTCAGGTTATGTTCGGTTAGGGCGAGTCACTTAACTGATCTCATACTGGTCTTAACCTGACCAATCTACTTAGGTCGGATTTGGTTGTAATATATAGACTGAAAAAATAAATAAATAGCCATGAAACAGTTTTAAGAGCTCCATATAATTATTCAATTAAAAAAATCAAAAACCTGCATGGAATTCCATTTTTAAATAGGTTTAGAAGACGACATTTTATAAATTCTTTCAATTTCTCCGAAGTTCTGGGTTAAATAGTAAATAGATAAATAGATATATAGATAATTTCTCAAGATTTTTTATACCAAAAAAAAAACGTTTTTTGTTTTTGCTTATAATTTTATCATATTTTAGCCGATGGGTGCTCTCTGTTACAGGTTATATATATATCTTCATTATTTTAAATATGAAACAATCAATTAAAATACATTTTTTTATTTTCTTTTGTTAAAAAGGTCTGACTTTTCTCCAGCTTTGATGAAGGAATGGGTTGAAGGTAATTTATTCATCTCAAGTTGTTTTATAAAAAAAACATAAATTTTCGGGACTAATCTGAAAATTTAAAAAGAATTATCATTTAAAAATTGTACAAGGCTATTATATAAATATTTGCGTACAGAAAATACTAGGTCTTTTGAGCATTAAGTGCGTATTTTGGCTTAAACCGTGAAGTTTATCCAATATAATATGGGATGCTTCGTATTTAATTTTATATCAATCAATTAGTATTATTTTGGTTTATTTAGAATAGTATCGTTTAGTTCATAGATTCACTAAAAGCAAACTTGTGGAGAAAAAATTTTAAAATTTCTTTTATGAAGAATAATTTTTTTTCTATTTTTTTCCTGTTTTCTTTTCTTTCTGATTTATAAGAAAAACTCTAGGATCAGGAGAGGGTATGAAAAGTGTAGAAGACAGGTTTTTGCCTCTACAATGCAAACTTGGTAAAAATAAAATTAATTAGAATTTATTAGTTTAACAGTTTTCTAGAAATACTCAATTCTATGGTGTTTTTAACAATAATTAGTTTTTGAACAATGAAATAGATTTATTGGGTCCAATAAATAGCTACAGGGTGTCCCACGAAACATGACAGTTGGTAAACAGTTTAAAATGTCTTCTTTCATAGTTTTTTAAGTTGTTTGAACCCCAAGAGAACAATATAAAAATGTTCATGCCAGCCATATTGATTTCAAATTAAAATATATTTGAGTAAATAATTTTTAAAACTAAATAAACTGCAAAAAGGCTATAATATCTAATACAGTATATGGAAGAAGACATTCAAAACTATTCACAAACTGTCATGTTTCGTGGGACACCCTGTATTATAAATTTAGATTTAATAAACAATGCACTATAATCTATAATCCAATTACAGAATTTTAAACAATGAAATATTCTAGGATCCAGGATGACTGTTTTTTTAAAAACGAAATATAATGACTGGAGTTTAATCAATGAAATATATTTCTAGGATCCAATGACTGGTTTGTGAACAATGAATTAACAATTGCGGATTTCATGATTTGGGAAACACTTGACGCATACAGGTACATTATAAATCATAAATCTTAATAATAGAAAGACGACTTTTTGGAGACTCAAGTTTTAATAAACATGAAAACAAATAAATGTGCAGTGTACACAGACCTATTTCACTTTAAAAAGTTGATTTTCTAGTCTTCCTATTCCTTAGCTTGGGGTTGTACTTTAAGCTCAGTTTACTGCCTTTTTACTCTAGTTTTCTGTTTATGATTAAGCCAGTCTCCTGTTTCTGTTTATTCTCCTGTTTATTGTTTACTCTAGTCTCTAATTTATTGATTGACCTAGTCTCCTGTTTATTGTTTACGCTAATCTCCTGTTTATTGTCTACAATAGTCTCCTGTTTAATGTTTACTCTAGTTTCCTGCTTATTGTTTACTCTAGTGTTCTGTTCATTGTCTACTCTAGTCTCCTGTTCATTGTCTACTCTAGTCTCCTGTTAATTGTTTACTCTAATCTCCTGTTTATTGTCCACTCTAGTCTCATGTTTCTGTTTATTCTAGTCTCCTGTTTATTGTTTACTCTAGTCTCCTGTTTATTGTTTACTGTAGTCTCCTGTTTATTTTTTACTCTAGTCTCCTGTTTATTGTCTTCTCTAGTCTCCTGTTTATTGTTTATTTTAGTCCCCTGTTTATTGATTACTCTAGTCTCCTGTTTATTGTCTTCTCTAGTCTCCTGTTTATTGTTTAGTGTAGTCTCCTGTTTATTTTTTACACTAATCTCCTGTTTATTGTTTACTCTAGTCCACTGTTTATTCTTTACTCCAGTCTCCTGTTTATTGTCTACTCTAGTCTCCTGTTTATTGTTTACTCTAGTTTCCTGTTTATTTTTACTCTAGTCTCCTGTTAAATGTTCTCTAATCTCCTGTTTATTGTCCACTCTAGTCTCATGTTTCTGTTTATTCTAGTCTCCTGTTTATTGTTTACTCTAGTCTCTTGTTTATTGTCTATTCTAGTCTTCTGTTTTTTGTTTACTCTAGTCTCCTGTTTATTGTTTACTCTAGTCTCCTGTTTATTGTCTTCTCTAGTTTCCTGTTTATTGTTTAGTGTAGTCTCCTGTTTATTGTTTACACTATTCTCCTGTTTATTGTTTACTCTTGTTTACTGTTTATTCTTTACTCCAGTCTCCTGTTTATTGTTTACTCTAGTCTCCTGTTTATTGTTTACTCTAGTCTCCTGTTTATTGTCTTCTCTAGTCCCCGGTTTATTGTTTACTTTAGTCTTCTGTTTCCTGGCTGTTTAACCAAGTTGACCGGCCTAACTAGCTTCCATTCTCGGTTTACACATCTGAAGGGGGTCAAGGAGTACCTAGAGTCAGACAGGTGGCAAATCATGGAAATTTAAAAATTATAAAGTTTGAATGGAAAATACAAAAAATATGAAAACAAAAACCTGACCACTCAAACTTAAATTTTCTAATCCCTTTATCTTTGAAAACTAATAGTTCAAATCAATGATTAATATTTGACTATTTGATCGAGCGGATTTCATAATTTGAAATTTCAAATCTCTTTTTCGATTTTCATAAAAGGTTGCACATTTTTGAATATAAAAGATCTTCCGGAAAGGAAAACAGCTGGGCTATTTTGTTCATTAAAAAATAAACATAAAAATGTTAAGATTTTGGTTTCATTTATGGTTTCATTTAATTTATTTCAGGTACAAGGCATACCCTATATGGAGTGTACGAGCAAAGCATGGATTTGTTGAACTTAAATAAAAACATCATGCATCAAGCATTATCATGCATCAAACATCATCATGTATCAAGCATCATGCATCAAGCATTATGCATCAAGCATTATGCATCAAGCATCATCATGCATCAAGCATCATGCATCAAGCATCATGCATCAAGAGAGAGATACATCCATTAAATTATACATATATCCATGGAACTATTATTGAGAGATACATCCATTAAATTATACATATATCCATGGAACTATTATTGGTTGATCCAATTTTTTAAACGTCTCTTATGTTTAATATTACCCCAAACTCTAAAAACCAAATATTCTGACAAAAAAAATATACTTGAAATTATCATAAAAGTTGAGAATACAAAAAATTGATTAGTCATTATCACACTTTTAATACAATAAATAGACATTAAATATTTACATACAGTGAGAACTAGAAAAATGATAAATTAGGGAAACGATATATTAGCAAATTTCTTGTGTTTTTGACGCTGTTAAAACCAAAAGGTTTAATTAGTTTGTTTTAAACTTGTTAAATTAAATTGTCTATTTACAGTGTACACTGAACAATTGTTGCGTTTCATGTTCATTGGTCTAAAAACAAGTCTTTTTGTTTCATTTTTTTTAATCCCACTGTATCTCTGATACAAATATTTACAGGGGATCCAATAAAGAATGAGTCGACTTTACAGATGGCATTTTTATTTATATTTGAAATTGTTTTCATATGTTTAAATTACTCTAACTTTTTTTCGTTGCATAACCATCATTAGATTTAATAATCATTCTTTGTGAATAACACTGTATCAAAGTCAATGTCAGCTGACTCAATTGGATGCTGTTGGGGGCGTCCATTTTGCTATTATTTTATGAACAGCTGTTGAATCCGCTGAATTTGTTTAATTGTTTGATACCAAAGTCAATAATAAAAATATTATGAGAGTCATGTTATAGTAAAATTGATTTCAAAGTAAAATATATATTTAAGCAAAAGAATTGTTTAACGAAATAGACTGCAAAAAAGCCTTTAATATCTAATATGGAAGACGACATTTATAACAATTTATCAACTCTCATGTTTTGTAGGACACTCTGTACTTTTACCTGGGACCCAATTTAATGAAATTAAGCTACGTTGCTAAGCTGCCTACTGTCCGTTCAAATTTGAACCACAGATGTGAAGTTACAGATTAAGGAAGAATTTGAATCAGTGATTCAAATTTGAATTGCATGATGGTAGGCAGTTAAAATTCATTGATATCTGTCCCTGTTAACATGTGGACATTTTTAAACTATGTACATTGTACAGGGTGTCCCAATAAACATGGGAATTGAATTACGATTTCGATATTGTCTTTTTAAAGAGTTTTGTGACAAGAGTTCAGATTGACGTACGTTGTTTTTAAAAAGAGTTGATTTTTTTAGGATTTTATCTATTTATCTTTGTATAAAGGTTTTCCGGAGGTTTCATTAATTCTGATCTAGATTATTTAATAATTTGCATTCAAATTAAATAAATTTGCACGCAACAAACCGGTCTTAATTACAAAACTTAATGACTGGAAACCGCTAAATCTTTTTTTCTTCTAACATTTTTGCACAGAATACTATTATTTATGTTAATTCTGGTTAAGAGAAAATTATGTTTCTTGATCTAAACTAATAAAACGTTAAAACATCTGAAAATTATATTTTCCATTTTTTCTTTCTTTTCTCCCTTTTACTTTAAACTTTTACGTTTTACTTAAGGTGTTCTAACAATTTTAAACTAGTGTTCTTGGTTTTCTCTAGACACTCCTCGAGTATAATCCATGGTTCGCATCAACAGTCCTCAAATATTATTCTTGGATTACTCAGGATAATTCTCCAGTATTATCCTTGCTGGGTTAATTGGTTTTCTTTAATCCTCAAATATTCTATGGGTTGTTCTAATAATCCTTAAAAATTATCCTTGGTTTGTTCCAGACTGGTACAGAGAATCCGGAAACATTATCGACGCTTTATTTCAACAGTCCCAAATTATTATCTTTGGTATATTCCAACAGTCCTCAATTATTATCTCTGGTTTTCTCCATCAATCCCAAATTATTATCTTTGGTATATTCCAACAGTCATCAATTATTATCTCTGGTTTATTCCAACAATCCTCAATTATTATCTGTGATCTGTTCTAACACTCCTCAATTATTATCTTTGGTTTGTACTAACACTCCTTAATTATAATCTTTGGTTTGTACTAACAATCCTCAATTATTATCTATGGTTTATTCTAACACTCCTTAAGTATTTTTAAATTACATTCATAGAAATCTGGAAGATTCTAGATATAATCTGGCTTTCGCCAATCTTGTGGCGAAAATGGGGCCAAAACCCAAAAAATCCTTGGATAAAAGTTTGCTATCTTGGTTCTCAGACATTATATGCATTCATGATAAATATGTTATGTAGTGATTAAAAATCAATGTTTTCTATTTGTGCATAATTTTCCATATTTTTTCTCTTTTCTTTTGGAAACCTGTATTTTCAAAAAAAATTTATTTAAACAAATTAAACTACACCATTTATATATGTATTTATATCTTTGTGTGTGAATAAATCTTTATAAAAAAAATATTTTTGGTTCATTCAAAGAGTCCTCTTTAATTATCTTTGGTTTATATTATCAATCATCAACTTTTATTTTTAAATTGTACTTTCAATCCTTAAGCATTTTCTTTGGTTTATTCCAACAGTCCTTAAGCATTATTTTTGGTTTCTTGTAACAGTCCACAATATTATCTTTGGCTTGTACTATTATGCAATCTTTAAGTATTATCTTTGGTTTATTCCACTAGTCCTCAATTATAATCGTTGGTTTTGTATAAACGCAATCTTCTCATTTAACTTAAACTAATTCAGGTCAAAACAATCTTTTTCAATCCTCAAAATATAAAATGTTAAATTTTCTTGATTTTTAAAAAATAAGAAAATAAAAAATCTTTAGTTCATTGTTATCTATTTAACCCTAGACTGATATGACGCAGATTACATTAACGTGGGTTACGGGGGGGGGAATTATGAGAGATGAGG